ACCCACTTTTGACAGGAATTTTAACCTACTTACTTAACTTATTTGAACTGTTTTGATTTTATAAGTTAGTGAAGTATTGCTCTTCAACGGTACATGGCGAAAAACAATCTTTACAAAATCGCAAGAATAGTGTTATTATGCTTCATTGAATACAAGTCACCAAAATCACTGTTGTCCACGTGTAACTCTAGTGTAGTTTTTTTGTCTTCAAATCAAGCTCCGGAGCTCAGTCAAGCAGATGGCATTAAGCTATCCATGGACAAACAGGTTTGGCACATGGAACTTTTAAAATGCCATATCGCAGAGACAAAATATGCATTTGCAATCATTTTTTCTTCACTTATGTTTAAAGATCAATATTTTAATACCATTGAATTAAATTTTTGAAATATGCTCAACACGTAGGTGAAAATTGCTGTCAAAAGTGGTTTTCCTTCTTTTTGCACCACCCTGTACAATACCTGTATATAAATCCCTGTCATCTGATTGGTTGGTTGTTGATCACGTGTCATTAAAGTATTCGTTCCAGCGCGGCTGCATAGTCAAAATAGTTCCATTCATTGGTAAATAAGTTCCATTCCACGGTCACACTTATGGCGGATTTGACCAATCAGATGACAAGGATTTACATGTATCCAGGTGTTGTATGAAACAAATAATGAACGTTTCAAGTTCGTGCAATGGAAAGAATAATTTCAAAACTTCTATTTTGGCCGCAATACTGTTTATCATTTGTACAATGGAAAGAATAATCTCATTTGGTGACAGCTGGAATGTTCCAAATTTCTACCTTATCAATATAAAAGGAATAACAACAAAACCCAAAGTTTTCAGAATTGTCTGCTTCTTTTGCTACTTTCCTTTAAGGAGAGAGAGATATCTTGTTTCTATGAGATGACTGACTTCTGAATTTTTTCATTTTGTAACAGCATACCAAGAGTGTTGAGCAGACTACCAAGACGGCACAGGTGAACATATAGGATAATTTGCATTAATCCCAAAAGTCATCGATCGAATTATTATCAAAAAAGCTTACTTAGGTTAAGGTTTTACTGGTACTTAACACCCAGTGAAAATATTGACCTATTGCGATAGAATCATGTAAGAATCGCGTCAACGCAGCTTGTGAAATATTGTCCAATTACATGATATACAAATGGATGCGGAATGCACAAAATCTGAGACAAAGAAAAGTTAGTGTACAAAAACTCCATGGGGTTATCTACATGTAAAGGGCATGGCTAACTCGAAAACAGCGATAGGTCAATGGGCCTTATGCACGAGTCGACCATTTTTGTCGAGTTCCTTGAATCTATTTCATTAATTGTTAACTGTTGAATGGGAAGGCGCCAGACTACTTATGCAGGCATAATGCAGCCTTATTTTACTGTCATTATTTTTTCAAATCTGGCTTTAAACATTAAGGAATGTATAATTACAAATTTTGAATTATTCATTGAAGCAGACTGGAATAAATTAGTAATTAACTTGCTTGCAAGTTCCAAAAATTAAGATTTTACCTCACTTTCAAATTCAATATGGCCAACTGTCATTTAGAAGAAATCAAGAAATGAATGTAATTTAACCACTGGTTATTGGGTGAATTGATCATTGCAAAAGCTTAATCACTTCATCACGAAAGAGATATTTTTCCCAGGTAAACCTGCAAGCTAGTTTCCCTCTTTTATCACCCCCGCCATGCAAAGGCAAAGCTTCAAACATGATTTACACGGTCTTTGTTTATTTGTGTTTATGTACATGTATGTATGTGCACTCCTTACTGGCAGGCCGTTCCATTTTGTCTTTGCTGTGAACTTCCAAAACATACAAAATGTGCATTTCCAAACTGTTTCAAAAAATGTCCAAACATTCAACAGCTGTCGGCTGTTGGAAATTGTGCCAGTGACAGATGAAATTGAAAGTGATATGTTGATAACGTCACTTTTGACAAGCTACTGTACTTGTATGAGAGAGAAAAAAGGGTGATTGAATTACAAAAGAATAACGTTTTAATTCCAAACTTTGTTCGGTTATCAGTGATTATCATTTCAGTGCCCAGCTCAGCATCAGACTCAAAATACATTTGTATATATTTGTAATGACATTGGCACTGAGCATTGACCTCATTAAAAATATGATGAGACTAAAAAAACCAGCAAAGGGCATTCAAAATGGTCTGTGCAAAGAACCAGAGAGCCGTAATCTGATTTTCCCTCACGTCCCTCAATCCCACACTTTGCACCCAAACCCATCACCTTTGAAATTGTTTCATTGTGTTTATCCCCACCGGTGCTGTCTCACCCTGACCGGTCTCCCTTGTGTCTGTGTGTGTGTGCTGTGGTGTCTGCCTGTATGTGTGTATGTATTTGTCGGCGGTAAGGGGTTTGTTGATGCCGGAGGGCTGCTTGGGATGTCACCTGGCGAGCAATTCGCCCCCGACTCACAGGTGTGTGGCAGGACATCGAGCAAACTTTCTCTCTTTTTGGGGTCAAATTTCCATTTAAATATTCACATTTATGTTTAATAGCTAACACCTAGTGCTGGGTCTGCACAATCACAACCATTCACAGCACTGGTAGTGACCATTATGCCATTTGATAAAGAATTTGTGGTTACTTAATGTGAAAATAAGCCCTTTTACTATACCTCATACATATTCATGATCACCTCATACATACTATGATCAAGAGCCAAAACTCTCACTGGTCAATTCACTATCACGTGCCAGGTGTTATTCTTGCTGTTTACCAAACACGCGTGCGCGAGGATTCTCGCACAGGCTAAATACACATGCGTAGTAGACTGTCGCACGGGTTACCCATGCAACAGTCTACTACGCATGCGCTTTACAAAGCAATCGAGGAACTGTCGCATGGGTGTAGTACGCACGCGCGAACAGTGCCCAGGAGAGATGCTTGGTTGCACGGTTCGCGTAAATTATATAAATGCCGGACTGGAGAAAATTTATGGACAATAAAGAATTTATGGACAAAAGAAAGTTGTACACAAACAACTTTATTTACAATTGTAGTTACTGTGTTGCAAACAAACCAAACTAGTGAAGTTGAGCAACAATATTCTTTTGGTACGCTGTACAAGTTTCTCCGAAAAATTTAGTTTTAGGTGCATAATTATATATAAAAAAAATGGCAACTGAATAAGTATGAGTTATAGTAAAACAAATATAACATGATTTATTTCGGGTGGACAGTCGATATTAGCTCCACTCGGTATTGGAAGTTGACAAACTAGTTCCCTCGGCAACTTCCAATACCGAGTGGAGCGAATATCGACTGTCCACCCTCAAACCATGTTATATTTGTATGCTGTCTAGTTTACAAATGCACAACGTGGTTGCTAGCCAAACGCTTGCCTACTACAATGGTGGCCGATCATGGGGAACCCGGATGGTCATGTGGTACTTCAACATCATTATTATCCGGCCCTATAAACAAAACTGATGGCTTGTGTAAAAGAGACCACTTCTTAGTCATGTTTGAAAGATCTCACAAGGTTTGGTTTAGGAAGCTCAGACTGCATCAGAATCACCCGGCTGTGGCTAGCAATTACACGTGCACCAATGGAAGCCGCCCAATCCACTTTCCATAGACCCTTGTGTTTCTGCCAGCCGTAGCCACTTACTTTTGAACTTGCCACTTTGCAAACTTAGTGCAGAAAGCACAATTGTTTTGGTCATATTGGCCGTGAATCTTATTAACAACAAGTTATAACTTGAATGGAACGTGCAGTTCTACCATTTCGTTTAATATAGTTTGTCTCTTGGAACTGAAAAAAAGTGATTTAACATTGCTGATTAGACTAGTTCCCGGTTCCTCCTTTGTCCTTTGAACTTCAAATGTAGGGAGAGGTAGCGGGCAATGAATCCTGGAGGTTTTCCTACATGCAGATTATATGCAGAACTAGCCTAAGTCTGACTCCTGCCCCCTGAATACAAAATCACAACGATAATGTTTGCGCGGAACCAGCCTATTGCAAAATGGCGACAAGGCTACGAATGTGAAGTTTGTGTAGTGATGAGCTTCAATTTTCACTGAATTTGAAGTGTCTCTGGCAACTATCAATAAAGAGAGGGCACTAAGTTTCAGTATTATTCAAAACCTATGCAGTGACGTGGGTTCGAGCCCGCCGGCGGACACTTGTGCTCTTAAGCAAGGCACTTAACCATTATTGCTTCGTCCTTCGGATGGGACGTTAAGCCGTAGGTCCCGTGTGTTGTATAAATGCACGTAAAAGAACCCAGTAAACACTTATCGCTAAGAGAAGGGGTTTGCCCCGGTGTTTCTGGCCTCCTGTATAAACTCCCACGTGGAGTATTTAGGAGAAGAACCAACCAAGAACCAAGCTGAATTGCTTGAAAGTGGCCTTCATGATGACACTGGCTATTTTGCCCACTGGTTGTGATTAGAGTCACTTTTCTGATGGCCATGTGTTCAAGTACCATCCATGCACAAAGCTGTGAAAATCGTTTAAAAAAGAAACCAATCTTGTTGCGCACGCGCAAAGGTGATCCAATCAATGGCTTTAAATGGGAAGTAGCTACCCGTCCCTATAATTTATAGGGAGCGGGGACAGTCCAATTTCTGACTTGGCGTTTTGATTACTCTGACAGACGGAAGTGAGAGCCGTGGAAACAACGGCCACCTTTACTCATCACATCCACTTACAACTCAAGAACTTTGGCTGCTGCACCGGGGATGAAGCCCAGGCCTTCTTCGCACTGTACGACGCCAAGAACAACAAGTTTATCAGGTGAGGCAGGCTTGTCCACTCCTGCGAGGCATGACTCTTTCTTATCAATGGGTCAAGTTCAATATTTTTGTTCCCCTTCACTGACATATTTTTAGAACCACTGTATACTCGATGTTGTCCGAGGGTTTGCCAAAAAAATGCATGCTTACTTGGGTGGAACTTGGAACGAACAACGTGCTTACTAGAGCAGGGGTCTTACACCTCTACCACCGAGCTTGCGGGGGTCAGTTGGATGGTTCGAATCTGATATAGCAGTGGGCACCACTATGAGTGAAGACTAGATCATACTGGAGATGAAAGTTCATGCAAATTTGTGATTCCCCTTTTAGAAACATCAATATACATCTGCTTTATGCAATTGTTCATTATACAAACTTTGGGACAGGAAATTGCTGTAGCAAGCTACTGCTTTACCAAACAATCAATTGTCGACCCCATAGTGTCATTGTGAAGTTCTGCTGTCCTGCATTGCCAAATTGCAAAACTTGAATATGTTTCAAATCTGGCGAGTGCCATTGCAAGTGTTTCATGAAGTCAAATTCAATTTGCATTTGTGTAAAATATAAACCAGCTTTTAACCAGTTCATGCTGGAATTGTTTTGACAAGAACGGAATGAGGCATGGGATTACTTTTCACTCGACCTCAAGCAAGGCAGGTTGAAGCCATCACCCTCGGGCAGCACACTCATATTTCCAGCCTGGCTCGCTGGAGCGGGTCGCTGACAGATATATCCGGCCTTGCTCCCTGCGTGTTTATCTGTCATTCGTTCTGAATACCGCAAAACTTTTGCGTGTATACACGATCTCTGGCGCAAACTGGTTAAGAGAAAAGTAAATGATACTACTGTATTGCAAGTAGAAAGTATGTTCTGAAAAAAAAAGTAATGCAGCAGGGTTAGGCAAATGCAGCACACAGAAAAACCTAAGTGACGAAGAATCATCAGAATGGAAACGTCCCAAGACAAGCTGCGTATCTAACGCTGATACCGCAACTTCAAACAGCTCTGGATTAGTAAGTGATTTGATTTGACTGGAGTATTTCTGGTTTCTTTTGTTTCCAGCGAGCGCTATCTTGCCAAGTTCAACAAGCAGGGGGTGCCGAACAACTTTGAAAAGATCGGCAACCAGTGCACGATATTCTGTGTAAGTACTCCTTGGATTATGGCAATTTCCCCGAGCCAAATACTTGATACTTGGTTTTTGAAGTGAGTAGCGACAGTAAGTATTTGTACTACTGTAGACGTAATTTTTTGTCACCACATTATTAGTGATACATGTATGTAGGCCGTACCTGCGCAGAAAATGTATGCAACATTTTCCGCACTGCCACAGTTTCATTCTGAAATCGTGAAAATTATGTTTATTTCAGTGGATTTTTTTTTTTGGCTGTGGCTGGACAATAACACCTTATTGCTTGCCAAGTAATACGATGCGTCTTGCGTCTCCAACTCTGATGACCTAAATTCCTACCTGGGCCAGTATTCCTGATTGGGTTTTTACTCCTCCAATGAATCCATGGATTTTACTTGGTCATACTGTTCTCTCTGGATTTCTTTCCACTTATTGAACTGTGCTTCATTTCTCACAATTCAAGTTTAAGAAAGAACGAAGTAACACGCAGTTCAGATTGACGTTCCAGGAATCATCATCATCATGAGGCTAGAGTCCATCAATTTGTTGGACGAAGCCCTCCTCATGAATGCACCATTCCTCTCTCTGTCTAGGCAGTCTTGTCCATGTAGCCGTACCCATGTGTGTTGGGATGTCATCTCTCCGTCTTCTTTTTTGTCCTTTTCTTCGTTTGCCTGTTCGTGGTTGTCAATCTGTCAGTTTTTTAGTCCACCTGTTAGCTCTTTACTGGTGTTGTCTTGAATTCTTGCTACATGTCCTGCCAACCTACATTTTGTCTCTCTGACCTCAATTATATCCTTGACTGGACCCTTGATCAGCTTTTGATTTAGCTCTTTGGCGGTGTTTAGTCTCCATAGGTCATGGATGTTAGAATGCATTGGTTGTTCACACTGCGTGGAAGTGACATTGGTTAAAAATGTTAAAACGTCTTTGTACATTCCAAAGCTCTTCCAGCCTGCTTCGATCCTTGCCATAATTTTTTCTCTTGTAGTGTCTACCATACCGAGAGTTTGTTCCAGGTATTTGTAAATGTTCCAGAAATGCACAAACCCAAAAGATATCAGGAGAAACTTGAGTAGACCAAATAGAATTTGATTTCAGACAGGAGAACTTTATGTATTGATTACTGAATAAATTTTAATCTAAGGAATAAATTGATTTGGCATGACTCTCAAACGCAAGTTTGAAAAGGATTGGCACCACATGGTGAGAAAGCCAAGTCAGTAGTCCACTGTTCAGGTATTTTGTCGGTTGTGAGTTCACATCCTGCAACAATCCATTTAAAAAAAAACAAAAAAACAAGACAAGCATTTTGTTATTTTGTCTCGATGTTCTCGGTGTTTTTTTTCTTCAGGATTTAAGCAACAAGGACTTGGGCAGGGACCTGTACCTAACCTGCCACATCATCCGGGTAGGATCCATGCTGTCCACAAACAAGAAGCATGCCTCCAACTTCAGAAGACCTTACGGTTGCGGCGGTAAGTTAACGTTTATTCAAGTGAAGAACATTGGAAGAGGAGGGGCTAGAGTCGGAAGGGGGGGGGTATTTAATGCAGGGCCATTGTACGATTCAAGGGTGTGATTTTTCCGGATTTCCGGATTTTTAGTCTAACGTCTGCGGAATTTTATGCGGATTTCCGGAATTTTATGCGGATTCCGGATTTCCAACGTTTTCTGTTTCCGTGATATCGCCCAAAAACTTCTGGAGAAATAGGCCCTAATTTACGATAATGGATGGACTGGTGACACAAGTCTAATAAGCAGTGCGGTCAAGAACCTGATAGACATCAATGCAGTGTGCGCAGTGGAGTACATAAGGACCAGACTAAAAATAATTTTCAATGGGTTTGCACCTCGTGTTTGTGTACTGCGTGTGGATGTGTGTTTATTGTGCATGTATTGTGCAGTGACGATCGTGAGCTAGCAATTCGCAAACACGTTGGAGTCAATATTGCCTCGATTTTGTCAAGGAATTTAAGAGTATGGTTGGAAGAATTGGTAATAAAGTGCCACTCTGGATGGAAATAAGTTTGAACTGCAGTAGTGCTTTGAAAAATAGCCACCACCAACACAAAATTTCAAAAATGTTTTGGAAGCCTGGGACTGGAGTTTAAAGTAAGATTAAGCCTAGGCCTACTATTTAAACTTTTTAAGCACCGTTCATATTTTTTTTGGTGAATCGTTTCTTTCTCTCTGCAAACATGCAAAAGTAATAACATCACGCACAGAAAAAGACATTATTGAATCAATCACATATGGATTATATTATTTAATGAACAGACATTTTTTCCTAATTTTCCCCCATTTGTTTTCTTTACTGAAGCGACAAAATTTGCAAACATTACAGAAATTACAGTAGGCCTACATAAAATGTAAATGCCCTATATATGGACATATGTGCATGTATATTATGTATACATGTACATCTACACGGAAAGATTCCCATATACGAAGTTCACTAATTTTCCTCTGTATTGACTAACAAGCCCCCAGATAGCAATTTCATGTCATCAAAGTCAATTTGAGCAGTGAGACAATACAAGCATTTTCTTAGAAAACACTTAGAATTTTTCAGTCCAATCTCATAGGGTTTGTACACAGGGTGTTGAGTGAACTTCGTATATGGAAATCTTTCCCATCTATACAAGTACATGTACAATAATACATGTACAATAATACATGTACATGTACAATAATACATGTACATGTACATGTATACATGTCAACCGAGGTTCGTGGATTTTTCATTTTTGTCCGATCACACCCCTGACGATTAGAGTCATTGTTCGTTCATTCCTACAATGTCGGATTCAGTAACAAATTAATGGAGGGACATTTTCAGTGTTTGGCAGTTGGGGATGAGCTTGCTTACTTGCTTAAGTCAGCATTATCTGCTGGATAATGGCTCTCCATTGTTCCCTGTCCCCCATAGCAGCTGGTAGTTTTTCTTTTAGGAAGCCTGTATCATGACAAATGCTGCCCACATAGGTGGTATTCGGTTTTCTGTGGATCGTCTGTCATGGGAGGGAGTCCAGAGAGCACCAGGCTGCTGACAGCAAGCTCAGGATGCCTGTGACAGTGCCCCGCAAATCTTAGTCTCCTTGCCCTGATTGGTAGTACCGGTATACAAATACAGCATGGTTTGAGGGGAAGAAATATACCATGCTGTATTTGTTTTACTTCACCTCATAAATATTTAGTAGCCTCAATGCCCTTTTAGTAGCCTCACTGCCTTGTCGAAAACGGCCTTCGTAGATTTTGCATCTTTATTCAGCACAAGATAATCAAGTCCTTCGTCAGTCAATGTTAATGTGTCTTAACTGCAGTTTTTACAAGGAATACAATAACAGACTGGTCCCGTAAGGATTACATGCCACGGACTACATGTCTGCGAGGCGAGTTCCAGAGGAAATTTTTTGGTGCTACCAGAAAAAATACCGCACGGCAGCGCAGCTGGATACTCACCGGGATGACGTCAACTGGGCGCGTATCATTTTTACTTCCCAGACGCGCGGCGGAATCGGCCAATGATGTGCTCCAATTTGGTCATGAATATTTATGAGGTGTAGTAGTGCACCATACAGATCCTGGTTAATAGTCAGGTGCATTGACCAGTTAACCCTTTTTTCCACTCTTATCATTCTGGTAAAGCACCCATCTAGCCTTTTCTCAAGGCGTTTGGTCAACGTCCAGGCCTCACAGCCATAGAGCAGGACTGACTCAAGAACAATCTAAGCTTCAGCTTTTGCTCCATTTGACTTTCTCAGACTGAATTCATGGAGCTTAGAGCTTTCCAGGCTAAGGCTATTTGCCCCCGGGATGTAGTTGAGTCCATCACAAGTCCAGTCACAAGTAAACCACAAGGCATGTCACAAGTCCAGTCACAAGTAACTGTGGATGAACAATAACAAAGGAGTGCCATTGTCAAAGATCATCGGAGTGGCTTGTGAGTTGAATGTGGACAGGAGGACTTGTGATGGACTTGCTGGGACTTGTGGAGGACTCGACTACATCCCTGTTGGGAGCCTGTTAAAAATGTTCGTATTACATTTTTAGAATGCGGGCGATCCTTAACCCTAACAATCCCTATTCAGTCAAACTGCAACACCCGGGTTTGTTGGAATATGTTGGAGTGAGGACCGCACTAGTAAACTGATTATGCTTTGCATGGGGTAATCATACCACCATAATCAGAGTCCAACAGTTTGGGTGTAGTGTTTACCACATGGTGTTGGAATTTGCAGGAGTGAGGGAGGTTCCTAGTAAATCACTCAAGGGGGTTAGGGTTAAAGAGATGACTTAAAATTGGTGGGAAAAAAACAGAGTTCATTGTAAAATCAAGGATACCCTGTTGTTTTTTTTTTCATTTTTAAGAATCGACGAACGAGCTCTTTTGATCATTTGTCTCTTCTATTTTACACAGTGTACAGCCTGGCGACTGTTTTGACAGAACCATTCCATGACATGTCGTCTTCAACCAAGGAAGTTGACACTGTCATGAAGATTTAGTAAGTTGTTTGCAATCTCAAATGCATGAAGAGTTTGTTTAAGCAGTGCAAATTAAAAAGAAGATAATTTTTTGGGGCCCTTTTCCCCCCCCCCTTAAAAAAATATGCATAAAGTAGCAAGTTAGAGTAACAAGCAATGATAACGAACAACATCCCCCCCAGGAAAAAAGTGATTTGGCCTCTTCATTCATTTTCTTTTATAGAACTGAATTTTATGTTTTTAATTAAATCAAAATTCTGTGTCTTATTTCCAAATATTCAAATAATCAATCAAAATATTCCAGATATTCAAATATATTTAAATAATCAATCAAAATTTGAAATGCTTGAATATTCAATACAGTCCAGTCATAGTTGGATGATGTAAATCAATAGTAGGTTTTGCCCCTCACTGTATACTCAGTGTGTTACCTCCCGAATGAAAGTTGGATAAAATCACTCGGGTGGGACTCGAGCCCACGACCTCCTGCTTTCTAGTGCAGACGTCTTGCCACTCGACCACCGAGCTTGTGGGATCGGTTGGCTGGTTCCAATCTGATACATGTAGCAGCGGGTACCGCAATCAAATTATTCGGTGTTAATTTCTTCTCCTTTTTTTTCTTTGTTTATTTTGTTCGTTTAATTTTGTTTCTTTATTTTTGTTTACGTTTTGTTTGTTTAATTCGATGTAAACCTACAGTCAGGGATCAGCAGAGGCGGAGTTTTACCAGCTACACGAGAACATCATCCGCAAGCACGCCCACAAGACGGGCACGACCAGCACCACCAATATAGGCATCTCGCTGTGTCTGCGCATGCTTCACGGCAACTTTGACCAGCTCAAACGGGACATGCCGCTGCTGTTTCGTGTCTCTACCACGCGCAAGCTCGGCTTCTCTGATGTCATCATGCCCGGTAAGTACTCATTGTGATGTTCGCTTTTGTTCACCTTGGGGTGAGATTTCTCCGGATTTCCGGATTTTTGGTGAGACATATAGGGATCGACCGCGGAAAAGGCGACACAGATCACTTGTCCTACTTTTTTCCCATTTTTGTCCCTTAACTTGTGCAACAAATTGCAAAAGTTGCGGAAATTGCAAACATTTTCCGGGGCCCTTATCCCTAACCTTGCCAGATGCAACACAGTACATCAGGTGGAAAAGTCTGGTGCACTTTGATGCATTCAGCTACCAACAACAGTGCATGAACGGCCGCTTTTGGGACAATGAGAGCTAGTCCCATAGAACAATGCCACAGTTGTATCCTGCTGCATTTGATGACCACAGCTTTTGACCTGATGGATCTTGCTGCACTGAGCAGGCTTGTCACTTAGACAAGCATTGCATGTTGCTGTGTTTGGCAGGTTTTCTATCCAAAATACCCTGGAGGATGAGGGCTAAAGGCATCCGTCCCCAAGCCATATAAAACAACTTCTTTTGCAATAACTATTAATGCATTTTTGCCCCCATAAAAATGAAACTGGGCCCATCCGTGGCTCGTGTTAGCTGTGCCGTTAACTTCAACAAATAACCTTAGGTACGCATTGGGCGCTGCAGCTCCCAAACTTCCATCATTTCAGGGATTTTTCATTTTCCTCTTTCTTCATTTTCCTCTTGTCGCATCTTAAAAATGTGATTTTTTGATTAAAATATCATTTAAATTTACTTCAGTAACCGTTTTGGTGCATAATGCAAATGAACCCTTAAGGCTTAGGGTGAATGAAACTCTATGGGGGTTTTCGAAACCTTTACTTCGGCTTTGACTTCGGATTTGCCTACTACCTCTGAATCACTGAGAGGCAAACTGAACGATAATATTCCAACTTTTGTCTTCATATCAACCGGTTGAATGTTCCTGAAGCATAACAGGTACCAAAATGTAGCTGGAGTTCCCGAAGTGGGGGGCCTAAAATGTCATCAAGCGGAAGACGAAGCCAAAGCAAGTCGTTTAATATGTCCCTTTATGAGTTTTTCATTCTATTCATTATTTTCCTTTTCCCCTTTTCGTACTCCTATACCAGGCGACGTGAGGAATGACCTGTATCTGATGCTTGACAGGGCAGAGTTTGAGAGAGGGCGCAAGACAGCCAGCCGGAATGTGGAAGTCACTGTGCACGTCCTAGATGGCAATAACAAGAAGATGGTAAGAACGTTTTGTTGCATCCTCGACTCAACTTGATGGAGATGCTTATGAGTTTCTAAGCAAAGTTTCATGCTGAGCAAAACATCTGCTGAGAACTAGGATCAGTTTCACCGGCCTGCTTAGCACAGAACGTTGGTTAGGCACAGGAAATACCTGCTCAGCAAAAACTGGTTACTGGCCAAAGTGTCATGCAGTGCATAAAGTCTGGTTCCCAGACCAACAGATTCTGACTATTTCTGTCAAATCTTAGGTCAGGCAGCCGCCAATGTCATGTGACTAAAATAATTCCTCCAGTTTCCGAAAGCGTCCGATTTCCTCAACATTCTCGGATAGCTCGTGGGTATAACACTTTGTATTTTTACCTGCCATGCTTATATGGAAAAAAAAAATTAATAATGAGTTTATAGTTTCATGGCTTGCATTTTTAAAACTTGAAATTCAAGGACTTTGTGCCTAAAATTATGCACTCGGATCGTATGACGGGCGAGCTTTGCTGCGTCATGTCCTATTGTGAATCCAACAACAGTTACACTGGGGCTGATTCTTGGGTCCCTGCTTTCGGAGATTCCAGCTCAACATTAGTCAGTGTTTTCTTGCAGAAATATCAAAATGTGTGATACAAAGCAAGTGAAATTTTTTTGAAAACCTTGGGCTAAGTATATGCCTTTCTTAAAACATATATACAGTGGAACGCTGCGATACCGAACACCGCTATACCGAACATTCGGCTATACCGAACATCATCCTTGGCTCCCGGTTTTAATGTACAAAACGTATCAAACATCGTTGTTGAAAAAAGTCAACAGATTAACCCAAAAAAAAGTACCGGTTGTACATGTATTAAACACTTTTTGGGCTACTTTTAGTTCCCGAACATCAAACCACCCATGGTTACATCGTGTTTGAATGTTGAAGAACGATTTCCCAAGGAATAAAAGGGAAAACCACCCGTTGCTAAAGTTTTGTGACAACTCCTCGTGCGGCGGCGGAATGTGAGAAATGCCAATTCAGTGACGTCACTATTGGTCAAAAGAGGGTACCTGCGGTTCAAAATCGCTATATTGAACTATCGTTATTCTGAATGCTTTCTGTGGATCCCACGATGTTTGTTATAGCGGCGTTCCACTGAATGCCTTTTTTAACGTCTCCATCAGAAATGCATCTGGCTGGGCGGGGATGAGGACGAGACAGACGAGTACCGGTCCACCATCTACTACCACACCAACCAACCCCACTGGGTGGAGAACATCCGGCTCAGCATCCCCATGGAGATGTTCAAGGATACCCACATCCGACTGGAGTGTCGTCACTGCTCCACCACCCGCGGGGAGCGCAGTCTGTTTGCCATTGCCTTCATGAGGTTGATGAAGGAAGACGGGACCACTATGGAGGACAGTGAGCATGAGCTATTTGTCTACAAGGTAAGTGGGCAGGATTCATAAACGTTTGGGGGGGGGGGGGTTATTGTTCTTACTCGCAGCGGAAGCGGAATTGGGAAGATTCCCATATCTGGCTTTCAGTAATTTTTCCCTTTAATGACCTATCAACCATCAGAAAGTGATAATATGTCTTAAAAAGTCTAAATAAGCAGGGACAAATTTTTGAATTTTTACTGAGAAAACACTTAGACATTTTCCACAGGGTCCCATAGGGTTTGTGCTCGGGGTGACAAGTGATCGCCGGATATGGGAAGCTTTTCGCGGAATTGAGAAGGACGCAGCTACAAAGTGGCCGAGCCGAAGACATGTGAGGGCACCCTAGGCAGCAACCTCGAACCCATGTCGTACTACGGAGCACAGCCAGATCAAATGCGTTGATTTTTGGTGGAGGGAGGAAAACCTGTAAGCCCGGAGGAAAGCCCTCGTGGCACAGGAGAGAATCAATGAACAACTCGGCTCGCATATGACCCGAGCCGGGAATCGAACCCAGGCCTCTGTGCTGAGAGGCATGCCCTTTATGCACTGCCAACCCTAGTAACCCATGTGAAATAATGGCTGGTTCATCCTCCATGTAAACAAAAGCCTTCCTCTCTGTCAGCTCAGTGGGACTCGGTCCTAAGCGCTGTGAGAATGGCAGTCGTCACTGCCTTAGGCCAAAAAAAAAAGTCTACGGTTTCTGGTATGGAGCTTGCCCAAAAAGTGGTGCGGCGACGCGGCTTTTTTTTTTTTTTTACCTGATTTTTTTGCTTCAAATGTCGGCTGATGACTGCAAATGGTGCCCGACTAAACTTAGTGCAAATATATGGGAGTCCAGAGAGGCCACATAAAGCTTATGCTCGACCATAACCCAATCTAAAAACACGTTAAAATTGTGCAGCAGCAGGATTCCAGTCAAACCAGTGAGTTTGGCGGTTTTGAGACATCATCTTTCATTAAAAAAAAAACTTTTTCATTTTGCCGACGCGCATGGCTACGGCGATGCGCGCGCATACCAGAAACCGGAGACTTTTTTTTTTTGGCCTTAGGCCGAAAATCCATGTGTTCGTTATCGATTTGCGTATTACCAATTGCGTAGCTGTGCTGCCTACTCTGTAAATCCATGTGTACGTATTTCTCTGAACACTTGACAGACGTAAAAGCTTAAACAGAGAGCACACTGTAGTTTTGCAAGTAGAAAAATCTAGCCTCAATCAGATTTGGATTAGTTTGGTAAAGCACACTTTTTTTACAGAATAATCGTTGACAAGATCATACCTTCTCAATAAAATACAAAGGGTATGAATATGTAGTATTTGAAAATTAAAATCAAGGCAGGCCCTAGTTTGTTTCAATCAGATGCACTTATAATATGTATAAACTGCTTTGCTTTATAGGCAACCATAAGTGTTCATCTTTGTGTCACACCACTACATCGTTTCTTTAAGTTGTAGCCAACAAATCCCATGCATATTGTATGTGTCATCCGTTTCAGTTGCTACCTGAAGCGTACATGTTTATAATTTCAACGGATAACACAGTATGGATAGCACAATAACGATACATGGACGTGTGCGCGTCGCTTTTCAAACAACTGATTTTCACACAACACGCAGTTGCAAGCTGCACTTAATGCATGACGGACACATGGATTCTAGGCCTCATAGACCTTTATCATGCTGCCACCATTTCAGTCATGTTCCCTGTACCCAATAACATTACTGAATTTTAATGTTTTTGTGCAAAAAGGAACCAGACTTTTTCCTTCCAGCCTCGCTTTGGTTACTCTGATTTAAATGGGGAAAAAAAACAAGATGGCCGCAACATGATAATGGTCTAATATCATCATTTGTCAAAGACTAATAATACATTCTGTACCCCCATTGTACCCCCATGTATCCTCAGCTTGTTCGTCTATCTTGCTTCAAATGCTGCCCAAAATAACGTGATTATTCACTGTTGTTGGTTTTTTTTAGTGCTCTGAAAATCAGGACTTCGGCGACATGTCGTACCTGAACCTGCCGTTCTGCACCCAGGAGATCGCCAGCCGGGCTTCCCCGGTGTTCGGCAACCACACCTACAGTAGGAACATGAAGGAATCGCTGGTAGTCAGCACCATCATCTGCTCCACCAAGCTCACGCAGAATGGTAAGACCAAGGCCTAAAATCAGCATTGCTGTTTTGCATCTATGGGTTTTGTTTTTCATTAGCCGTGTCCGCGTTGGACTTTTTGTGGTAAAATGTGCAGAGACTGTGGTCAACTTGACCAAACTAAGTCCAGTGCAGACAGACAGCCTGTAAGCTTTCCAAACTTGTTGCGTGCCGATCGTCGGTTGTTGAAATTATGAATGAAATGTTGCAACTGTTATTAATTTTTTGTGGTCGGAGGACGATGGAGTGATTCCTTGTTCGCATGGAGGACGTATTAAGTCGTGAACCCCAAACACGACGGGTGGCGTCAGGTGACCCGACCAACCCTTAACTTTCATTAACCTTAACTCCCTAGGCCTTTTTGCTAGGATGTAGCCTCAATCCTGCAAAATCCTCCAATTGGCCTCATGGGAAAATAGCATATAGCCTCAATCCTGCAAATTCCTCCATTATTTCTTGAATATGGTCCGTGGAGAGGTGACCACTGCCTGAATCCTGCAAAATCCTCCAGCTATGATGACTGTCAATAGGCTGAGGCAGAGGCAGTGACATCCTGGAGCAGTGCGGAGGATTTCAAGTATAATCAAAGGACTAAATGTATGTTAGGCTGAGCATAAACAATGCAAGGTCTGGCCCAAGACCTTGACACAGTGCATCCTCCGAAATCAGCAACGCACTTTTGCCATTTAACCTCAATCCTGCAAATTCCTCCAATTTGCCAAAATGATTTTGGAGGATTTGGGATGGTTAGGGTTAAGAATCGAGTATGACTTTTTTGGTAGATTTGCTGACTCAATTAATGCATTGCACTTTCTAGTCACAATGTTGAAGAAATGAATTCACTTATAGCGCCGAGATTTAAAAGACGACACAAAAAACCATCACCAGTGGCTTTATTTCATTTCAATTAACTTATGCTCAGCAACAACTGAGAATTATTACATTATAGGGCAAACATTAAACACAAAGTAAAAGCACAAACGGGAGATTTATTTTGACGATAATCAAACGCATTTTGATACTATCGATATTATTCCTCAATATCAAAATTTTTCATATTTTCAAAATTTTTTCTCAATATGAACATTTATGATATTTTAAAATGATTAAAAAAAGGGCAATATCGATATCAAATAATCGCGTAATATCGAAATATCGACAGTGCTTAGAATCTTTGGTTCTCAGTTGTTCACTTTAATTGCTTCATATATTTACAGTACAGCGAAACTTGTGGCAATAGCATTCCTCTTTGGCGAAAGAGCATTAGTGCCAGGTTTCTTGATTTTGTTTGTTCTTGAGAGGCAGCATTTAATCACAATTAAACCTGAAATCACTGTATTGTCCAAACCGCCCTGCCTATCCGTTCCGTTCACAAGTACCCCCTCACCGGCAAAGAAAGTACAGTTGGGGGTGACCGACCGACGCCATCTTGCTTGACTGCAATTTTGCCGCGACGCTCGGCCATACCACTGCGCGTACATAGTACAAATCCCCTGGTGTTTGTGCGTCACACACAAGGAACTGTGCGCGTCAACCAGCTAAATGTCCCGCCCATGGGACGTCATTGCTAGGTAAATGGGTGCCCTCTTTCGTTGGCGCACGGAGCCCATTACTCACTGTAGCGCCCAAAACGCCTGAGCACTCCATGGTTTTATTGATTCTTCAGTGAACAAACACAATGTTATAGAATGTACCGTAGTACAAGTGCGAATGGGTTAAACCAACCTGCAGGAACCATTTTGCTCTGTGTCTTATAATTTCCTGCCAACAGTTTTATCGGTTGTCATTTTCGGCAGCCCTTCACTGGTAATTGTTCCATGAGTACCACTTATATTCACGTTTCTTGACAAACTGTTCAAGAACAGATTTCATACATCATTAATCCATTGTACATGTATGTATGTAGCTTATCTTTTTTTAAAGAAAGTAGCAGAAACTGCCAGTAGTTATTAGACTACCCCTCAGTTCAGTATGACATCATCAATGTACAACAGCATCAGCAATGTACAACAGCATCAGCAATATACATGTACAACATCAGCAGCAATATACAACATGAAGGATGTACTGAAATGCTTTTTGATATATCAAAACCACTCAACATAAAGTTTGACACCTTTATAATTCATTTTGGCACGTCATTTTGTTAAACCAAAAGATGTTCACCCCTCAGTTCAGTTTTCAGCAAATGGCATGCAGCGTTTACAGGATCGGTAGTTAGATATCAGGAGATCATGGGTCGCTCGACGGAAATCTTGGTTTCTGAGATAATAGATGACCACGTTAAGCCAACTGTTTGTCAGGACAGGCAGCACAAAGGTGAACAGGACTGGTATTGGGTGTGGACTTTGTAAGAATAATGAACAGAGTGGCAAGAGGTTGGCAACAGATGCAGTCAAAACTACAGTGACGACTGTTTTCAGGGCTTTGTTGTCAGGCCTCGCGACAGGGTTTCCTGGTTGAGCGATTTGGTTTTCGACTTGGATGACTCTCGCTTGGTGTCGCGATATCATGAAAAGTCGTAAATACGCTATGAGAATAACTAGCAGAGTGCCGACTACTATGATTAAAGAGAATATTTGTACCAATGTCCTGGAGGAACCTGACTGAAATACACACGCTGGGATATATTTGATGTATTCAGTGTCCCAATGTGTAAATCCATATGCACTTGTCATCAACACAAGGGCTCCCCACATACAACAGACAGAAATTTGAGCCCGCTTAACAGTTACAAGAGATGGGTAGCGCAGCGCATGCACCACTGAAATGTAGCGGTCCACAGTCAGCATCAAGAGTGACATCTGGGGACTGTAGAATAGGATGCCCTCAGCAAACGACAGCACTTTGCAGAATGCCTCGTCGATGTGCTCAGTCTCGGAAATTGCAAGAACAGTCATTGGGAGAGCTCGGAAGAGTCCTATGCCAAGATCGGCAACCGTCATGGATCTGAGGAATATCTTAGTTGTTTCCTGGATGCTGCGGACATGCCTCAGGACTACAAGACACAGCGGGTTGAGGGTCAGAAGTAGAGTGGTCGTTATGATGAGCAGGATGCATCGGATGAAGTTGTACTCAATTCTGTCCTGAGTCACTGGGGTCGTGGATGCATTGAATGTAGACAGGTCTTCATTAGTTCCTGTTGAATTCATGTTGATGCTCATCTTACTTGGTCGGGTTCAATCCTTCAGTAAGATTTGTTTTATTTTACTCCAATGTATGAATTACACTGACAGCAGAACTGATCTTTGACAAAAATCTTTCACATTTACATTGAACTGTTTGAACGTAATAAGAATAGATGTACATGTAGTATGAAAAGCGTCACATATTGTCAATTAATGTTAAATTGCATGCAGAGATTTCTGTCTGCAAGTAGGCTTTGTCTCTTGGGAAAAAACTAATGAAATGGGTGTGTGTTGTCCTTATGCATAGAGGTAGTGTGTATATAACCAAAGGTCAGTGCTGATTGGCCAGTCTCTATAATTGTGTAGGACTCTGCTTGGCTCCTTGCTATTCTTTTCCTTTTTATTGACAAAATTATTATTTTCATTGTGAGCGGCACATTCATATTACAAAGCAACTGTAGGATGCATTTTGCGCTGCTGGTAATTTCCTGCAAAATGCCATTCCCTTTGTATTTCCCTAGTTACAATGCAATTATATCATCGGCCAGTCTCGTTTGTGTTTATTGTTCTTTATAAATCACAACAGGCCAACTGGTCCTCAACTGTTGCTTATTAAATGTCAGATGAGCAGCGGCATTATTGCTTGTTTAAAACTGGAAGCTCTTGAGGTGGAAAACATCAAGTGCCCGTTCAATTTGTTTTTAGGACCGTTCCCTTTTTATTGCCAAATGTTTGTTCAGAATCTAGTTCTTTGATATAACAAACCACCTGCTGTTTTCTGACCCTAGAATTATAATAAGTATCTAGCATAGGTGCTAACCTTAAATAGGAAAAATAAGAGAGAAAATGAAGACAAAAGAAAATCCATCACCCAGTTACATGTACATTTGTCAGTTCAAGATCCGTGTTGATGGTTTGCCCTGTGGTAGCTCATACACCAATTACTGCCAGAAACTGTTTTTTTTTTAATCTAAAACTGTTTCCAATTTATGTTTTAAGGGATATAAATACAGTATTGAATTGAGCAATTTTACAAGCTTAAGTTGGCATCATATGGGCCGTAATTCATAATACTTTCGTCATCATTCTCATAGTTACTCTGAGGCTTAAAACTACTTCAGCACGCTCCGGAAACTTTTTATTTCATGAGTACTGCAAATTCAATATTTACCTCTGTGATGGGCTAAACAAGCATTTTAATAATAAACGCCTTCCAAAGTGTTTGGGATTAGTCAAATTGCTCTTGATCAGTTAAGCTACATGTAAGTATTAAACTTCAAACTATCATCATACTTTATCATCACACTTATAGCATTTTTAATTACATGAGATTGAGTTGTCAAAGCAGTTAACCCTAAATTTAGGGGGCGGGGTGTTCAGCAACAACACCTACAGCAGGAAAATGAAGGAATGAACAGTGGTACAGTCAGCCCCATCATCTACTCCATCAAGCTCACCCAGAATAGTAAGGCCATGACCAAAATGGAAACAGCTGTCTGACAGTATTTCCTCTTTTCCTTATAGTTTGTGAATGGAAAAAAATGCAAGCCACAGCCGCAAAATAAGTGATTCTGACATGGCTTAACAATTAGCCTCAGAGGACCTGATGTTTTGCTCCTAGCACTTTAGTAGCTGAATACATGTCAAGTAAAACAAAAATCAAAACGTACTCAGGGGGCACTTTCCTTCAGTGGTTCACCATGCTGGAATGTCATAATCTTTCTTTGTAATGGTTACGTCTCGATAGTCCGGCATACCATTGGTCCGACGTCCCAATGGTCCGACGTCCCAATGGTCCAACGTTCCATTGGCCCGACGTCCCATTGGTACGACGTCCCATTGTTCCGACATCCCATTGGTCCGATGAAACATAATACTGTGTTGTTACACTGGTTCAGGTTGACTGATCTAACCCTAATCCTATGGGGCGTCATACCAATGGGACGTCGTACCAATGGCTTCGGACCAATGGGACGCCGGACCAATGGGACGTCAGACCAATGGGATTTTGGACCAATGGGACGTCGGACCAATGGGACGTTGGACCAATGGGACTTCTGACCAATGGGATGTCAGATCAATGGGACTTCAGACCAATGGGACTTCGGACCAATGGGACTTCGGACCTTCGGGATCAAGTCTGACACCTATTAACGTGGAGATGATCTTCTCAACCATGGCTGTTCCCGAAATGAGAGACCTCTCAGAGCGACCTCAATTTTATTTCCAAATCATTAACGAATATTTAATTTCTGTGGCTGGCTGAACATTTCAACATGTTCAAATATGTTTATGATTTCTGAATCACTTGTACATGTTGAAAACTGTATTCAAAGGGCAGTGAGAATATTGTGGTGGGGCATCACGGGGCCTGACCTACATTGTAAGTCTGTTGGGATCAAGTCTGGCGCCCATTAGTGTGGAGACGATATTCTCAACCATAGCTGTTCCCGAAATGAGAGACCTCTTAGAGCGACCTCAAGGGGAAGGGTCAAGGCCCATATTGTAGGAAATTTATTACCTATTGTGACTGATTGTTAGTCTGCTAATCTACGCAATAAACCTGCAACAAAGACCCCTTGACATCAGATTTGTCAGCACAATTAATACAATTTATTCAGCACTAATCAATAAATGTACAGTAATTGGACTTTAATTTTGGTGGTTGTTTTATGATCTGGGTCCTTTCCTATACGGGATACAACCCTAACCTACTGCTGGCGGTAGCAATGTGCAACAGCATCAGTAATGCACCACAAAGTCAAATATGCGCAAAAGCATCTGGAATACATGTACAACAGCATCAGCAATTTACAACGGCATCAGCAATGTACATTTGTACAACAACATCAGGAATTCATAGCAACATTAGCAAAAAACGTACAACAGCGTCAGCAATGTACAACAGCATCAGCACTAAACAACAACATGAGCAATATACAACAACATGAGCAATATAATAGTAGTAGGAATTCACAACAACATCAGAGATGTATAACATCATCAGTAATGCACAACATCATCAGCAATGCACAACAGCATCAGCAATGTACAACCTTGGCTTACCATTGCCATTCCTGTGGCAGCTCCTCTGGGTGCTAAGCTTTGCCCAGCCTGTGAACCTAATAGTCACGTGCATAGTTTCGTACATAAACCTAATCGCATGCATAGTCTTGCACATTCACAATACATGCAGTAAAAAACAATGGAAATAAACTGGCCCTAAGCCCTTACACTTTCCACCACAATATACATGTACTTGTGTAGAGAAAGGGATCCTAAATCACGGTCATGAGGTTAAAAAAAATCTGTAATTTTGAACAAGCAGTTGTTTAAAGTTGGGCCAGAGTCGTTTTTTGGTACAAGTAATACTTCAAGCAATCTGTTCAAATTGTTATCTTTTTTTAAATTTTTTTTTTCTGTGTAAAAAAAAAAAATTCCTTTTTTTTTTACTTTCTTTAATTTTATTTTGAATTGAGTCAACCCCTTGCAATTATACCGTTCCACGAGTACATATTCTACTCAACTGCTCCTTAATCTACTCAATGAATTTTGCACTTTATTAATCCAGTTATTCTGTAGCTTATCTTTTTTTCACCGAATGATGTTACAAAAGCTGCCAACAGTTATTTGAACACCCCTCAGCTCAGTTTGCAGCAAATGGCATGCAGCATTTACAAGATCGGTAGTTAGATATCAGCAGATCATGGGTCACTCGACGAAAATCTTGGTTTCTGAGATAATAGATGACCACGTTAAGCCAACTGTTTGTCAGGACAGGCAGCACATAGGTGAACAGGACTGCTATTGGGTGTGCACTTTGTAAGATAAATGAACAGAGTGGCAAGAGGTTGGCAACAGATGCAGTCAAAACTATAATGAGGACTGTTTTTAGGGCCTTGTTGTCGGGTCTTGCAGCAGGATTTCTTGGTTGAGCGATTTGGTTTTCGACTTGGATGGCTCTCGCTTGGTGTCTTGATATCATAAACAGTCGAGCATACGCTGCGAGAATAACTAACAGAGTGCTAACAAGAATGCTTGAATAGACTATATGTACAGTTGTCCAGGAGGAATTTGGTTGAAATGCACACGCTGGGATAGATGTGTAGTATGCAGTTTTCCAATGTGATGTAAATCCGTATACTGTTATCATCAAAACAACTGCTCCCCACAAACAACAGACAGAAATGCAAGCCCTCTTCACAGTTACAAGAGATGGGTAGCGCAAAGCATGCACCACTGAAATGTAGCGATCCACAGTCAGCAGCAGGAGTGACATCTGGGGACTGAAGCTTAGGATGCAGTCGACAAATGACAGCACTTTGCAAAGCGCATCACCGATATGCTCAGTCTCAGAAATCACTAACACAGTCATTGGGAGAGCCCGGAAGAGTCCCACCCCGAGATCAGCAACCGTCATGGATCTGAGGAATATCTTGGTTGTTTCCTGGATGCTGCAGACATGCCTCAGGACCACAAGACACAGCGGGTTGAGGGTCAGAAGTAGAATTGTTGTTATACTGAGCAGGATGCATCGGATGAAGTTGTACTCAATTCTGTCCTGAGTCATTGGGGTCGTGGATGCATTGAATGTAGACAGGTCTTCATTAGTTCCTGTAGAATTCATGTTGATGCTCATCTTACTTGGTTGGGTTCAATCCTTCAGTAAGATTTGTTTTAGTTTACTCCAGGGTACGAATTACACTGAAAGCAGAACTGATCTTTGACAAAAATCTTTCACATTTACATTGAACTGTTTGAACGTAATAAGAATAGATGTAGTATGAAAAGCGTCACATATTGTCAATTAATGGTAAATTGCATGCAGAGATTTCTGTCTGCAAGTAGGCTTTGTCTCTTGGAAAAAAACTAATGAAATGGGTGCATCTTGTCCTTGTGCATAGAGGTACGGTAGTGTGTATATAACAAAAGGTCAGTGCTGATTGGCCAGTCTCTATAATTGTGTAGGACTCTGCTTGGCTCCTTGCTATTCTTTTCCCTTTTATTGACAAAATTATTATTTTCATTGTGAGCGGCGCATTCATATTACAAAGCAACTGTAGGATGCTTTTTGCGCTGCTGGTAATTTCCTGCAAAATGCAATTACATGTACCTTTGTATTTCCCTAGTTACAAGGCAATTATATCAGTGGCCGGTCTTGTTTGTGTTTATTGTTCTTTATAAATCACAACAGGCCAACTGGTCCTCAACTGTTGCTTATTAAATGTTAGATGAGCAGCGGCATTATTGCTTGTTCAAAACTGGAAGCTCTTGAGGTGGAAAACATCAAGTGCCCGTTCAATTTGTTTTTAGGACCGTTCCCTTTTTATTGCCAAATGTTTGTTCAGAATGTAGTTCTTTGATAACAAACAACCTGCTGTTTTCTGACCCTAGAATTATAATAAGTATCTAGCGTAGGTGCTAACCATAAATAGGAAAAATAAGAGGGAAAATGAAGACAAAAGAAAATCCATCACCCAGTTACATGTACATTTGTCAGTTCAAGATCTGTGTTGATGGTTTGCCCTGTGGTAGCTCATACACCAATTACTGCCAGAAACTGGGGTTTGTTTTTTTATCTAAAACTGTTTCCAATTTATGTTTTAAGAGATATAAATACAGTATTGAATTGAGCAGTTTTACAAGCTTAAGTTGACATCATATGGGCCATAACAGATAATATTTTTGTCATCATTCTCATATTTCCTCTGAGGCATAAAACTACTTCAGTCCGCTCCGGAAACTTGTTAATTCATGAAGTACTGCAAATTCAATGTTTAACTCTGTGAGGGGATAAACAAAAAAACCATTAATAAACTGACCCTATGCCCTAACACCTTCCACCACAATACACATGTACTTGTGTAGAGAAAGGGATCCTAAATCACGGTCATGAGGTTAAAAAAAAATCTGTAATTTTTAACAAGCAGTTGTTTAAAGTTGTGCCAGAGTCATTGTTTGGTACAAGTAATGCTTAAAGCAATCTGTTCAAATTGTTATCTTTTTTTTAAATAGTTTTTTCTATGTAAAGAAAGAATCCTTTTTTTTTTTACTTTAATTTTTTTTTTGGAATTGAGTCAACCCCATGCAATTACAGTCGAGTCTCGTTAAAGGGAATGTACAATATTTCTGCTTTTGCTGCAATTTTAAGAAATAAATGGATTTGGAGGATCGGTATAATATGGCATACATTGTATATTGTTAAACTGACTTGTTTCAAGTTTTGGGGTTGTAGATGATGGAAAAACCAAGAAAACCAATCTTGTTTGTATAGTTTGCTTCCCCGGCCTGACCCCACTCAAGAATAATCAGAGCAATTTGTAGACTTTGGGAATTGTGAGGTCAGAGAATTAGTCTAGCAGGCTAGTACCCCTTCACAGGTGTGTAATCAATTGCAAAGAAAATGCGGAATAACTAAATATGAAAAAAATAGGAGACATTTTTGAAAGAAAAAAAAGTTTTCTCGAACACTGGTTGGCCGACCAGCGTTGGAAAAGTACTGTTTTTCTTGAAAATGTAAGCACACCAGGAGCCACGATTTTACAGGATGCTTCAGACTGTCATTCCCTAACATATTTTGTGACAATTTGATCATTCCGTTTTTTGATGTTTTCAAATGTTGTTAATTCTTCCAAACATACAAACTCATTCGGACCTAGCCATATTTTCAGCATTTTGTATTAAGAGGAACATCAGTCCGATTCATTGTGCACATAAATGCTCAGTCGAGACCGATTAAGGCCTTATGTTTGTTATTTATAACCAGAGTTTTGTATTAACAGAGTTTGTACTAACGAGAGTCGACTGTATATCGTTCCATGAGTACAACTTCTACTCAACTGCTCATAATCTACTTAATGAATTTCACACTTTATTAATCCACGGTAGCTTATCTTTTTTCACCAAATGATGTTACAAAAGCTGCCAACAGTTATTTGAACACCCCTCAGTTCAGTTTGCAGCACATGGCATGCAGCTTTTACAAGATCGGTAGATAGATATCAGGAGATCATGGGTCACTCGACAGAAATCTTGGTTTCTGAGATAATAGATGACCACGTTAAGCCAACTGTTTGTCGGGACAGGCAGCACATAGGTGAACAGGATTACTATTGGGGTTGGACTTTTTAAGAGTAGTATTGCACAGACTGGCAAGAGGTTGGCAACAGATGTAGTCAAAACTATAATGAACTCTGTTTTCAGGGCTTTGTTGTTGGGCCTCACAGCAGGGTTTCCTGGTTAAGCGATTTGGTTTTCGACTTGGATGGCTCTCGCTTGGTTCGTGATATCATGAACAGTCGTGCATATGCTGCGAGAATAACTAACAGAGTGCCGACTACTATGCTTGAATAGACTATTTGTAAATATGGCTCAGAGGAATTTGGTTGAAACATACACGCTGGGATATATTTGATGTATGCAGGTTTCCTGTGTGATGTAAATCCATATACTGTTATCATCAAAACAACTACTCCCCACATGCAACAGACAGAAATGCAAGCCCGCTTCACAGTTACAAGAGATGGGTAGCGCAGCGCATGCACCACTGAAATGTAGCGATCCACAGTTAGCAGCAGGAGTGACATCTGGGGACTAAAGATTAGGATGCTGTCGACAAACGACAGCACTTTGCAAAGCGCATCACCGATATGCTCAGTCTCAGAAATCACTAACACAGTCATTGGGAGAGCCCGGAAGAGTCCCACCCCGAGATCAGCAACCGTCATGGTGGTGAGGAATATCTTGGTTGTTTCCTGGATGCTGCGGACGTGCCTCAGGACCACAAGACACAGCGGGTTGAGGGTCAGAAGTAGAATTGTTGTTATACTGAGCAGGATGCATCGGATGAAGTTGTACTCAATTCTGTCCTGAGTCATTGGGGTCGTGGATGCATTGAATGTAGACAGGTCTTCATTAGTTCCTGTAGAATTCATGTTGATGCTCATCTTACTTGGTCAGGTTTAATCCTTCAGTAGGAACATTCACTTTGCTCCAGGGTATGAATTACACAGACAGCAGACCTGATCTTAAGCCGTGTCCGCACTGGACTTTTTTTTTGGAAGGTTTTACCGAGACGATGGTAAAATGAGAAATGGTCAAATGTGACCACTGTCCGCACTTGGACTTTCGACACGGGAAAATTTACCCAGACCGCGTGGGAGAAGTAACCGAGCTGTCACAGTGTCAGTATTATGACTCACCGTACACAGAAAACAAATTGCCGATCACATTTTCAGCCGCCGATACGCACAGTAATATTACACACGCCATTTGCATGCACAACATAATCGTTTACACGATATTATTTCATCTTGATCACCCAGTTACATGAACATTTGTCAGTTCAAGATCTGTGTTGATGGTTTGCCCTGTGGTAGCTCATACACCAATTACTGCCAGAAACTGGGGTGGTTTTTTTTCATCTAAACAGGGGTGTGAAATCTCAGCTTTTTAGCTGATTTCAGCTTTTTTTGTTTTGGATTTCAGCTTTTTCCCTTCACTTGCTGTGTACAAAAGTATAGGAGATTTCAAAAATTCAGCTTTTTTACACCTTTTTCAGCTGTTTTCAGCTAGTTTTATCAGTGGTCACTCACACCCCTGTCTAAAACTGTTTCCAATATATGTTTTAAGGGATATAAAAACAGTTTTGAATTGAGCAATTATACAAGCTTAAGTTGGCATCATATGGGCCGTAATTCATAATACTTTTGTCATCATTCTCATAGTTCCTCTGAGGCTTAAAACTACTTCAGCACGCTCCGGAAACTTTTTATTTCATGAGTACTGCAAATTCAATGTTTACCTCTGTGATGGGCTAAACAAGCATTTTAATAATAAACGCCTTCCAAAGTGTTTGGGATTAGTCAAATTGCTCTTGATCAGTTAAGCTACATGTAAGTATTAAACTTCAAACTATCATCATACTTTATCATCACACTTATAGCATTTTTAATTACATGAGATTGAGTTGTCAAAGCAGTTAACCCTAAATTTAGGGGGCGGGGTGTTCAGCAACCACACCTACAGCTGGAAAATGAAGGAATGGACAGTAGTACAGTCTAAATCATCATCTGCTCCACCAAGCTCACCCAGAAATGCAAGCCACAGCCACAAAATAAGTGATTCTGACATGGCTTAACAGTTAGCCTTTTTAATAGAGGACCTGATGTTTTGCTCCTAGCACTTTAGTAGCTGAATAAGGTAAAACAAAAATCAAAACATACTCAGTTGGCACTTACCTTCAATGGTTCATCATGCTGGAATGTCATAATCTTTCGTTGTAATGGTTACGTCTCGATAGTCCGACGTACCATTGGTCCGACGTCCCAATGGTCCGACATCCCAATGGTCCAACGTTCCATTGGTCCAACGTCCCATTGGTCCGACGTTCCATTGTTTTGTCGTCCCATTGGTCCGACATCCCATTGGTCCGATGAAACATAATACTGTGTTGTTACACTGGTTCAGGTTGACTGATCCTAACCCTAACCCTAATCCTATGGGGCGTCAGACCAATGGGACGTTGTACCAATGGCTTCGTACCAATGGGACACCGGACCAATGGGACGTCGGGCCAATGGGACTTCGGACCAATGGGACTTCGGACCTTCGGGATCAAGTCTGACACCTACGGTATTAGTGTGGAGATGATCTTCTCAACCATGGCTGTTCCCGAAATGTGAGACCTCTCAGAGCGACCTCAATTTTATTTCCAAATCATTAACAAATATTTAACCCTAACTCCTGGGGCTCTTTTACTAGAAAGTATCCTGAATCCGCCAAAATCCACCAATTTTGTCATGCAAAAAATGCTGGTATCCTGAATCCATCAGAATCCCCCAGTGTAGATTCTGGAAGTATCCTGAATCCGCCAGAATCCACCAGCAAAAGTCTTGATGGATTCTGGCGGATTCAGGATACCATGGTGGCATAAAAAAAAATACAGCATGTTTTTCCATAGAGTCTTCAAAATCCATCACCTAAATTTCTGGTGGATTTTGACGGATTCAGGATACCATGCTCGCATGAAAATTGTGATGTGTGTTGTTGCATAGAATCCGTCAAAATACACCAATGCATGGCGACCCCAGCATGGATCAGTACCGAAGTGAATACGTCTCGCACACAAAATTTGTGTGAAAGACATAGCGCATGTTTCAGCCCGTAAACCATAGATATAGAATGAAAAGACTAGATCGGCAGCGCGTCCACACGCGCCCAGTCACTGTGCGATAAATCTCTGCCATTTTGGTTGTCTCTCATAGACGCGCAACAAATGAACGTAAAGTAATGGAGCTAAATGTATCTTTCCTCCAGCACGTGACCTAGCTCAACACGCGCGAAGCAAGAAATGCGCACCGAGTATTTACGCGATGCGCACACATAATTATTAGCGATGCACATGGTGTTCTTTGCGCGTAAACGGCGTTGCGTTCGTTACGTTTCACGCATTATTTGTATCTTTCCTCCAGCAAGTGACCCTCCATGCAAGTCCACCCAGTACATGTGTGTACGTGTTTGTACAGTACGTGACAGACTTGGCAGGGCTAGTGCCAGCAGTATTTACTTGACCACAAACATTGCAAAAGAGTTAAACTGTTGAGATCCTGAATCCATCAAAGTCCCCCAATAGCTCAAAATGGAGGTATCCTGAATCCATCAAAATCCGCCAGTTCCGCTAGGCTTCGAATCCTGAGTCCATCAAAATCCCCCAGTTCGTTCAATATGGAGGTATCCTGAATCCGCCGAAATCCCCCGAAACAGGGGGGTGGATTTTGATGGATTTAGGTACGTTAGGTTAATGTCTGTGGCTGGCTGAACATTTCAACATGTTCAAATATGTTTATCATTTCTGAATCGCTTATACATGTTGAAAACTGTATTCAAAGGGCAATGAGAATATTGTGTTGGGGCATCACGGGGCCTGACCTAAGTCTGTTGGGATCAAGTCTGACGCCCATTAGTGTGGAGACGATCTTCTCAACCATAGCTGTTTCCGAAATGAGAGACCTCTCAGAGCGACCTCAAGGGGAAGGGTCAAGGCCCATATTGTAGGAAATTTATTACCTATTGTGACTGATTGTTAGTCTGCTAATATACACAATAAACCTGCAACAAAGACCCCTTGACATCAGATTTGTCAGCACAATTAATACAATTTATTTAGCACTTATCAATAAATGTACAGTAATTGGACTTTAATTTTGGTGGTTGTTTTATGATCTGGGTCCTTTCCTATACGGGATTCAACCCTAACCTACTGCTGGCGGTAGCAATGTGCAACAGCATCAGTAATGCACCACAAAGTCAAAAATGCGAAAAAGCATCTGGAATGTACAACAGCATCAGCAATTACAACGGCATCAGTAATTGAATTCATAACAACATTAGCAAAAAACGTACAACAGCATCAGCAATATACAACAGCATCAGCACTAAACAACAACATGAGCAATGTACAACAACATGAGCAATGTATAATAGTAGTAGGAATTCACAACAACATTAGAGATGTACAACATCATCAGTAATGCACAACAGCATCAGCAATGCACAACAGCATCAGCAATGTACAACCTTAGCTTACCATTGCCATTCCTGTGGCAGCTCCTCTGGGCGCTAAGCTTTGCCCAGCCTGTGAACTTAATAGTCACGTGCATAGTCTCGTACATTAACCTAATCGCATGCATAGTCTTGCACATTCACAATACCTGCAGTAAAAAACAATGGAATTAAACTAGCCCTAAGCCCTTACACTTTCCACCACAATATACATGTACCTGTGTAGAGAAAGGGATCCTAAATCACAGTCATGAGGTTAAAAAAAATCTGTAATTTTTAACAAGCAGTTGTTTAAAGTTGTGCCAGAGTCGTTTTTTGGCACAAGTAATACTTCAAGCAATCTGTTCAAATTGTTTTGTTTTTTTTAAATATGTTTTTTCTATGTAAAAAAAGAATCCTTTTTTTTTTTTACTTTCTTTAATATTATTTTGAATTGAGTCAACCCCTTGCAATTATACCGTTCCACGAGTACATATTCTACTCAACTCCTTAATCTGCTCAATGATTTTTGCACTTTATTAATCCAGTTATTCTGTAGCTCATCTTTTTTTCACCAAATGATGTTACAAAAGCTGCCAACAGTTATTTGAACACCCCTCAGCTCAGTTTGCAGCAAATGGCATGCAGCGTTTACAAGATCGGTAGTTAGATATCAGCAGATCATGGGTCATTCGACGAAAATCTTGGTTTCTGAGATAATAGATGACCACGTTAAGCCAACTGTTTGTCAGGACAGGCAGCACATAGGTGAACAGGAGTGCAATTGGGTGTGGACCTTTTAAGAGTAGTATTGCACAGACTGGCAAAAGGTTGGCAGCAGATGCAGTCAAAACTATAATGAGGACTGTTTTAAGGGCCTTGTTGTCTGGCCTCACGGCAGGGTTTCCTGGTTGAGCGATCTGGTTTTCGACTTGGATGGCTCTTGCTAGGTGTCGTGATATCATGAACAGTCGTGCATATGCTGCGAGAATAACTAACAGAGTGCCGACTGCTATGGTTGAATAGACTATTTGTACATATGGCTCAGAGGAATTTGGTTGAAACATACACGCTGGGATATATTTGATGTATGCAGGTTTCCTGTGTGATGTAAATCCGTATACTGTTATCATCAAAACAACTACTCCCCACATGCAACAGACAGAAATGCAAGCCCGCTTCACAGTTACAAGAGATGGGTAGCGCAGCGCATGCACCACTGAAATGTAGCGATCCACAGTTAGCAGCAGGAGTGACATCTGGGGACTAAAGAGTAGGATGCTGTCGACAAACGACAGCACTTTGCAAAGCGCATCACCGATATGCTCAGTCTCAGAAATCACTAACACAGTCATTGGGAGAGCCCGGAAGAGTCCCACCCCGAGATCAGCAACCGTCATGGATCTGAGGAATATCTTGGTTGTTTCCTGGATGCTGCGGACGTGCCTCAGGACCACAAGACACAGCGGGTTGAGGGTCAGAAGTAGAATTGTTGTTATACTGAGCAGGATGCATCGGATGAAGTTGTACTCAATTCTGTTCTGAGTCATGGGGGTCGTGGATGCATTGAATGTAGACAGGTCTTCACTAGTTCCTGTAGAATTCATGTTGATGCTCATCTTACTTGGTCGGGTTTAATCCTTCAGTAGGAACATTCACTTTGCTCCAGGGTATGAATTACACAGACAGCAGACCTGATCTTTGACAGAAATCTTTCATTTTTACTTTTAACCCTTTTTGACGTAATACGATTAGATGTAGTCAGAAAAGCGTCGCATATTGTCAGTGGTAAATTGCATGTAGAGATTTCTGTTCGTAGGCTTTTATCTCTTGAAGAAAATTAAATGGGTGTGCCTCGTCCTTATCATGCATAGAGGTACTGTGCATATAACCAAAGGTCAGTGCTGATTGGCCAGTCTCTGTGCTGTGTAGGACTCAGCTTGGCTCCTTGATATTCTTTCATTTTTATTGACACATAATGTTGTCATCGCTTGCGGCACAGTCATATAACATTGAAGCAACTGTGGGATGCATTTTCGTTCTGCCGTAAATTTCCTGCAAAATGCCATTACCTTTGAATTTCCCTTTACGATGCATTCATACCAGTTGCCAGTCTCATTTGTGTTTATTGTCACAACACGACGACTGGTCCTCAACTATTGCATATTAAAAGTCAAATGAGACGAGACATTATTGCTTGTTAAAATTGGAAGCTTTTGATGTGGAAAACATTATGTGCCTGGTGAAATGCTTTTATAGTGCCAATCTCTTTTTGTTCTGTTCTCAAACGTTCTGTCAGGAATCGATTTCTTTGACATTTACAGATAGCGTGCTGTTTTGTATCCCTATATTTGATAAAGTATGCGATAGTTGGCCAGTCTTTGTATTGCAGACAACTGCTTGGTACTCCCTTGCATTCTGGTTGATGTAGAATACTGTCATATTGAGTGGCAGCATTTAATCACTTTTAAACCAACCTGCTTGGCCTTATTCAGTAAGAAAATGGCTGGGAAAAACATCTGATTGTCTCCCTGTCTCAAATATTGTGAATTCATTTTGGAAATATTTGAAATGTTCCGACCACAAATTTGCATCTGAATGGACACGACCAATCTGTTTTTCCAAGGAATAAATTACATACGTACAACTAAATGACAGGAATTTGATTTTCACCATTGCACTCATAAATATTCATTATTTGGAATGTTTTATTCCTTCTTTGTAATGGTTGGGGCTTGTCATTGAAATGCAACTCAGGGCAAGCTTGTATGTTTGATTTTAGAGTCTGTTATAGTCAGCCAGTCTTTGTATTGCCGAGAACTGCTTGGCACTCTCTTGCATTCTGGTTGATGTGGAATATTGTCATCTTGAGTGGCAGCATTTAATCACAAATGAACCAACCTGTAGGATGCATATTGCTCTGGGTCTAATTTCGTTCAGTTTTATTACCCTTCAGTTTCCATTTATTGTACAAAGCTGGTAGGCATGGCCTTATTCTTTAAGAAAACGGCTGGGGAAAAAAAAAAGTGATTGTCTCCATTGGAAATATCTGAAATAATCCTGACAGCGAAGTTGGATCTGAATGGACAGGAAAAATCCAAGATTTTGAGTGATACCGTATGATGTAGAACTAGATGACAGGAATGTGAAATTTTAAATTGCTATGTGATACGCTGATGGTCTTTCATAAATTTTATTACCAAATGAAATTTTTTTTTCCTGGCTGAAAATTTAAACATATTCGTGTTTTTTAATCATTTCTGAATTGCTTGTACATGTTGAAAAGGGCAATGAAAATAATGTGGCGAAGCATCACTGGTAATGACCTAAGTCTACTGGGGTGAAGTCTGACACCTATTAGACAAGGTTCTTCCTTAGACGAGAGACATCTCAGAGTGACCTCCAGGCTACGGGTGCAGGTCTGTTTTGGATGAAAATATACCGTTGATTGTGACTGATTGTTATCTCTGCTAATTACACAATAAACCTTAACAAAGACACCTTGACAACAGAATTGTTCAGCACAAGCAGTTCAATTTATTCAGCAATAATCAACAATTGGACTTTATTTTGGGTGGTTGTTTTATTATCTGGGTCCTTTCCTACACGGGATACAACCTTAACCTATTGCTTGCAGAAGCAATGTACATCAGCATCAGCAATGAACTGTAAAGTCAACAATGCGCAACAGCATTAGCAATATACAAATCAACAGTAAATAAGAAAATACATGTAAGCAATGTGCAACAGCATCATCAATGTACAACAGCATCAAAAACGTACAACAGCATCAAAAACGTACAACAGCATCAAAAACGTACAACAGCATGAGCAGTATACAACAACATAAGCAATGTACAGCAACATCAGTAATGTAAAAAAATGTGTACAACATCATTAGGATTGCACAACAACATCAGCAATGTACAGCTCGTATGCATCTTTGTACTCAAGACGCATCAACCATGCAAGCCAGCATGAGCAACGTACAACACATCAGCAACGTACAACACATCAGCTATACATGCCAGCATAACATCGGTGCAGTTCATACGACTTTGTACATCTACAAACTGTGCATAAGCATTGCACAAACGCAGAGCACAAGTAATCCACCTACTTCTTTTCTGTTCGTTGTCTGCAGCTCAACTGACATACTATGCACTAACTGCCTAAAGTCCCTGCCTAACATGTGCATACATGTATACACACTGTATATACATATACATGCGCCTTGGCTACCAGTGCCATTCAGGTGGCAGCTCTACTGGGCGCTAAGCTTTGCCCAGCCTGTGCACCAACCTAATAGTCGCGTGCATAGTCTTGCGCATTCACAATACATGCAGTAAAATACAATAGAAATAAACTGGCCCTACTATTCCTCACACTTTCCACCACAATTATATACTTGTCCAGAGAAAGTGATCCTAAATCGCAATCATGAAGTTTAAAGAAAGTCTGTGCTTTTTACAAGCAGTTGTGCCTGAGTTGTTCACATGAAGGTTGTTTTTGTACAAGCAATGCTTAAAGCAATCTCTTCAAAAAATATGTAAAACAAATTTCTATAGAAAAGAAAATCCTTATTTTAAAAAAACTTTCCTTAATTTATTTGAAATGTGTCCCCCCCTTGAATGGCAGTTATACCGTTCCATGAGTACAACTTCTGCTCAACTGTTAAAGTTGTTAAAGTACTCAAGATAAAATTTCACACATTATTAATCCAACAATTATTTGAACGCCCCTGAGTTCAGTTTGCAGCAAATGGCATGCACGCTTTACAGGATCGGTAGTTAGATATTAGGAGATCATGGGTCGCTCGACGGAAATCTTGGTTTCTGAGATAATAGATGACCATGTTAAGCCAACTGTTTGTCAGGACAGGCAGCACAAAGGTGAACAGGACTGGTATTGGGTGTGGACTTTGTAAGAATAATGAACAGAGTGGCAAGAGGTTGGCAACAGATGCAGTCAAAACTACAGTGACGACTGTTTTCAGGGCTTTGTTGTCAGGCCTCGCGACAGGGTTTCCTGGTTGAGCGATCTGGTTTTCGACTTGGATGGCTCTCGCTTGGTGTCGCGATATCATGAAAAGTCGTAAATACGCTATGAGAATAACTAACAGAGTGCCGACTACTATGATTAAAGAGAATATTTGTACCAATGTCCTGGAGGAACCTGACTGAAATACACACGCTGGGATATATTTGATGTATTCAGTGTCCCAATGTGTAAATCCATATGCACTTGTCATCAACACAAGGGCTCCCCACATACAACAGACAGAAATTTGAGCCCGCTTAACAGTTACAAGAGATGGGTAGCGCAGCGCATGCACCACTGAAATGTAGCGGTCCACTGTCAGCATCAAGAGTGACATCTGAGGACTGTAGAATAGGATGCCCTCAGCAAACGACAGTACTTTGCAGAATGCCTCGCCGATGTGCTCAGTCTCGGAAATTGCAAGGACAGTCATCGGTAGAGCTCGGAAGAGTCCTATGCCAAGATCGGCAACTGTCATGGATCTGAGGAATATCTTAGTTGTTTCCTGGATGCTGCGGACATGCCTCAGGACTACAAGACACAGCGGGTTGAGGGTCAGAAGTAGAGTGGTCGTTATGATGAGCAGGATGCATCGGATGAAGTTGTACTCAATTCTGTCCTGAGTCACTGGGGTCGTGGATGCATTGAATGTAGACAGGTCTTCATTAGTTCCTGTTGAATTCATGTTGATGCTCATCTTACTTGGTCGGGTTCAATCCTTCAGTAAGATTTGTTTTATTTTACTCCAATGTATGAATTACACTGACAGCAGAACTGATCTTTTACAAAAATCGTTCACATTTACATTGAACTGTTTGAACGTAATAAGAATAGATGTAGTATGAAAAGCGTCACATATTGTCAATTAATGGTAAATTGTATGCAGAGATTTCTGTCTGCAAGTAGGCTTTGTCTCTTGGAAAAAACTAATGAAATGGGTGCGTGTTGTCCTTATGCATAGAGGTAGTGTGTATATAACCAAAGGTCAGTGCTGATTGGCCAGTCTCTATAATTGTGTAGGACTCTGCTTGGCTCCTTGCTATTCTTTTCCTTTTTATTGACAAAATTATTATTTTCATTGTGAGCGGCGCGTTCATATTACAAAGCAACTGTAGGATGCATTTTGCGCTGCTGGTAATTTCCTGCAAAATGCCATTACCTTTGTATTTCCCTAGTTACAATGCAATTATATCAGTGGCTGGTCTCGTTTGTGTTTATTGTTCTTTATAAACCACAACAGGCCAACTGGTCCTCAACTGTTGCTTATTAAACGTCAGATGAGCAGCGGCATTATTGCTTGTTTAAAGGGAATATACATCATTTGCTTTTGCTGTAATTTTCAGAAATGGATGGAATTGGGGGGTTGGAAATATAAAGCAAATATAGTTACACTGACTTTTTGGAGGTTTTGGGTTCGAAAATGCTATAAAAACCAAGAAAAACGATCATTTTCCTGTAGTCTGGTTCCCTGACTCCACATAAGAAGAAACCGAGCAGTTTACATACATTGGGGAATTGTAAGGTCAGGGAACCAGTCTAGCTGGCTCGTACCCGTTCATAGGTTTGTAATCGATTGCAAACAAGTGCAATGGTCAATTGGGGCCAGTATTTGAAAAAAAAGCCAGTTGTTTCCAACGCTGATCGGCCGATCAGCGTTGGAAATTGATACAAAAATACCACTTTTCTGAAAAAATGACAGTATACCATGTGCCATAATTTTACAGGATGCTTTAGACTGTCATTTACCAACATCCTATTAAGGTATTTCGCAAAAACTTGGTAGTTTTATTTTTCGATGTTTGCAAATGTTGTATATTCCCTTTAAAATTGGAAGCTCTTGAGGTGGAAAATATAAAGTGCCCGTTCAATTTTTTTTTTTAGGACCATTCTCTTTTTATTGCCAAATGTTTGTTCAGAATCAAGTTCTTTGATATAACAAACAACCAGCTATTTTCTGACCCTAGAATTATAATAAGTATCTAGCGTAGGTGCTAACCTTAAATAGGAAAAATAAGAGGGAAAATGAAGACAAAAGAAAATTGATCACCCAGTTACCATGGTTACATGAACATTTGTCAGTTCAAGATCTGTGCTGATGGTTTGCCCTGTGGTAGCTCATACACCAATTACTGCCAGAAACTGGGAGTTTTTTTTCATCTAAAACTGTTTCCAATTTATGTTTTAAGGGAAATAAATATACAGTTTTGAATTGAGCAATTTTACAAGCTTAAGTTGGCATCATATGGGCCGTAATTCATAATATTTTTGTCATCATTCCCAAAGTTCCTCTGAGGCATAAAACTACTTCAGCACGCTCCAGAAACTGTTTATTTCATGAGTACTGCAAATTCAATATTTACCTCTGTGATGGGCTAAACAAGCATTTTAATAATAAACGCCTTCCAAAGTGTTTGGGATTAGTCAAATTGCTCTTGATCAGTTAAGCTACATGTAAGTATTAAACTTCAAACTATCATCATACTTTATCATCACACTTATAGCATTTTTAATTACATGAGATTGAGTTGTCAAAGCAGTTAATCCTAAATAAATGGGGCGGGGTGTTCAGCAACCACACCTACAGCAGGAAAATGAAGGAATGGACAGTATTTCAGTCTGCCCCATCATCTGCTTTATCAAGCTCACCCAGAATAGTAAGGCCATGACCAAACTGGGGAGAGCTGTCTGACGGTATTTCCTCTTTTCCTTATAGTTTGTCAATGGAAAAAAATGCAAGCCACAGCCGCAAAATAAGTGATTCTGACATGGCTTAACAATTAGCCTCAGAGGACCTGATGTTTTGCTCCAAGCACTTTAGTAGCTGAATACATGTAAGGTAAAACAAAAATCAAAACGTACTCAGGGGGCACTTTCCTTCAATGGTTCACCATGCTGGAATGTCATAATCTTTCTTTGTAATGGTTACGTCTCGATAGTCCGGCGTACCATTGGCCCGACTTCCCATTGGTCCGACGTTCCATTGTTTTGTCGTCCCATTGGTCCGACATCCCATTGGCGGGGTGTTCAGCAACTTCACCTACAGCAGGAAAATGAAGGAATGGACAGTATTTCAGTCTGCCCCATCATCTGCTTCATCAAGCTCACCCAGAATAGTAAGGCCATGACCAAAATGGGGACAGCTGTCTGACAGTATTTCCTCTTTTCCTTATAGTTTGTAAGTGGTAAAAAAAAATGCAAGCCACAGCCACAAAATAAGTGATTCTGACATGGCTTAACAGTTAGCCTTTTTAATAGAGGACCTGATGTTTTGCTCCTAGCACTTTAGTATCTGAATAAGGTAAAACAAAAATCAAAACATACACAGTTGGCACTCACCTTCAATGGTTCATCATGCTGGAATGTCATAAACTTTCGTTGTAATGGTTATGTCTCGATAGTCCGGCGTACCATTGGTCCGACGTCCCAATCAGGGTAAGCCTTAAGGGTTTTTTTTTGTATAGCAAAACTGCTATGCAAATTTTGATTTGCATAGCAGTTTACCAATTTTGCATAGCAGTTTTGTTATACTCAAATTTAGCCTCGGCTTTGCAATTACTGTTTACCTGTCAGTGTCAGACTGTACAAATTACAAAGCAATAAGAAGTAACTTACGTTAAGCTGTGAACTTAATGACTCATCAGTTGTCTGTTTATTTCAGGAGCTGCATGCTTGCTGGAATAACTTTCGAGTGAAAAAGCAATTTATTAACCCGGGCCATTCCTGGCCCGGGTCTAGATCCGCCTGCCAATTATTGGCAGTATTTGCCTTGATACCGGTAGTTTTCGTAGTAGCCATGTTTTCATCAATATGCTACACAGCGCACAAACGACAACACAGCTGGGATTTTGACGTTTTAGTTCCCACGAATCCCACGTGCGTATCAAGTGATTTACTTGAAGGGGTAAACCCGTTTTCCGTGTCGGCAAAATGTTTAAGGTAAACCGACAAATATCTAATGATGAGAAAAGGGCTTGATTTACCCGGGTGCACGCACGCACCAGTGCATGTAGATTTTAGCTTGTGCACGTAGCTTTTTTGCTGAGCATGCACGACGTGCATGTAACTTTTTTAGCCACCAAAATACTCATTTCATGCATATATTTACCAGTGAGTGAGAATAAGAATAAAGTTTGTTGAATACTTGACCAGATAGTGTGTATAAACGTGTTATTTCTTTTATAAATCCATAAATTATTCCTCGCACAGTCGCAGCAGATTCAAAGTACGAGGTAAAATCTCGACGTACGTCCTGCAACCTCCTCTGATCATGCACGTGATTTACCACGTGATACATGCTGCGGATAATTTGGTATCGCACCGACGCTCCGGGCATTCCCTATGTCCGGATCATAAGTGCGATTCCAAATTATTAGCTGCGTTTATCACGTGGTCTCGTTATCAGACGCCGCCTGTTTACAAACTAAACACGTACAGATTTTATACAGCTGAACAAAATTGACGTTCTTTTTCAGTATTTAAGCTTAACTAAATCAAAACATGATGGATTTTTACCATGTCCGATAGTTGTGGAATTTAGTGGACCGAAATTTGGTGGCAAGTACACTTTGTGTCAACTTTTCATGATCAAAATGTTGTATAGCAGTTTTGCGATGCACTTTAAAAATTGCGTCGCAGTCGGCCTCGAATGTGTCGCAAATTGCGATGCGATACCGCTTATTGCGGACCCTGGTCCCAATGGTCCGACATCCCATTGGTCCGACGTCCCATTTTTCTGACGTCCCATTGGTCCGACATCCCATTGGTCTGATGAAACATAATACTGTGTTGTTACACTGGTTCAGGTTGACTGACCCTAACCCTAATCCTATGGGGCGTCAGACCAATGGGACGTCGTACCAATGGCTTCGAACCAATGGGACACTGGACCAATTGGACGTCAGACCAATGGGACTTTGGACCAATGGGACGTCGGACCAATGGGACGTCGGACCAATGGGACTTTGGTCCAATGGGACTTTGGACCTTCGGGATCAAGTCTGACACCTACATGTATTAGTGTGGAGACGATCTTCTCAACCATGGCTGTTCCCGAAATGAGAGACCTCTCAGAGCGACCTCAATTTTATTTCCAAATCATTAACGAATATTTAATGTCTGTGGCTGGCTGAACATTTCAACATGTTCAAATATGTTTATCATTTCTGAATCACTTGTACATGTTGAAAACTGTATTCAAAGGGCAATGAGAATATTGTGGTGGGGCATCACGGGGCCTGACCTACATTGTAAGTCTGTTGGGATCAAGTCTGGCGCCCATTAGTGTGGAGACGATATTCTCAACCATAGCTGTTCCCGAAATGAGAGACCTCTTAGAGCGACCTCAAGGGGAAGGGTCAAGGCCCATATTGTAGGAAATTTATTACCTATTGTGACTGATTGTTAGTCTGCCAATCTACGCAATAAACCTGCAACAAAGACCCCTTGACATCAGATTTGTCAGCACAATTAATACAATTTATTCAGCACTAATCAATAAATGTACAGTAATTGGACTTTAATGTTGGTGGTGGTTTTATGATCTGGGTCCTTTCCTATACGGGATACAACCCTAACCTACTGCTGGCGGTAGCAATGTGCAACAGCATCAGTAATGCACCACAAAGTCAAATATGCGCAAAAGCATCTGGAATACATGTACAACAGCATCAGCAATTTACAACGGCATCAGCAATGTACATTTGTACAACAACATCAGGAATTCATAGCAACATTAGCAAAAAACGTACAACAGCGTCAGCAATATACAACAGCATCAGCACTAAACAACAACATGAGCAATATACAACAACATGAGCAATATAATAGTAGTAGGAATTCACAACATCAGAGATGTATAACATCATCAGTAATGCACAACATCATCAGCAATGCACAACAGCATCAGCAATGTACAACCTTGGCTTACCATTGCCATTCCTGTGGCAGCTCCTCTGGGTGCTAAGCTTTGCCCAGCCTGTGAACCTAATAGTCACGTGCATAGTTTCATACATAAACCTACCGTAATTTTCGGAATATAAGCCGCGGCTTATACGTTGAATTTGCCCATGAAAACGTTTACTGCGGCTTATACACAGGGCGGCTTATACGCCGAGACTTGAAGAATAAAAATGACATTTTCATGTGTATTTAATGTACTGGTACAAGAAGAGATGTGTTGCTGAAATAATTATCAATTAAGAAAGTCATTAACAAACCGAAAGCACGTCCCACAAAAAGGTACCGAGCGGTAAAAAGTACGGCTAGTGAAAGCTGTCCCTTGGACATCGACAACCGGCCGTGATGCTGCCCATGCTGCATGCATGCTGCAGGGATTCCCCATGGACCACACCATTTGTGGTAATAAAGGGGTGCACTTTCTTGGGAACAATAATTACCAATATTTCCCCAGTTTAAAAAAAGATAAAAAGACAACTAATACTTTTTATGGAGTTTGAAACATATCGTTATTTGATAATCAGTTGTGCAACGTCACAATATAATTTTTTTCTTGAAATGTATGCTAGAAACGATGTAAAACTCAAAACAGGGGTGAAACCACCCCTACAAAATTAATGGATTCGTCCATAAAAATCTCGGCATCGTGTTGACTGTTTTCGAAGAAAGTTACGATCCAAACTTGAAGTTTTGACGTTACTACTCGTTAGTAATCACAACAATTTGATAAGTTTTGCTGTAAAAGCGGACTTGTTTAACCTTTAGGACAAAACAACTCAGCGTATGTTGCCACAAAGCAGGATTTGTAGCGCTCCAGTCAGACAACACATGGTGGGTTGCATACTCTCTCAAGTGCTGGGGGAAAATAATGTCATTCGCCGGCACAGGCTCACTGACGAGCCAGCCGGCAGCAATTCCCGTTTTTTATTTCTCATCATCAATTTCCATATTTGTTTGTAAGAGTAATCGACTGTAAATGATTTGACATAACATTTGTGGCCCTTTTATAGCTTTCGTAGTGCAAATGGAACTGGTTCAGAGCATTTTGACTAGAATTTAGAGGCCTTACAAAATTGAACCGCTGCGGTTGGTGCGGCTTATACGCCGATGCGGCTTATACGCCGACTTCAAATCTTAATTTGCAGATTTTTGCGTGCTGCGGCTTATACGCCGCGCGGCTTATATTCCAAAAATTACGGTAATCGCATGCATAGTCTTGCACATTCACAATACATGCAGTAAAAAACAATGGAAATAAACTGGCCCTAGGCCCTTACACTTTCCACCACAATATACATGTACTTGGGTAGAGAAAGGGATCCTAAATCACGGTCATGAGGTTAAAAAAAATCTGTAATTTTGAACAAGCAGTTGTTTAAAGTTGGGCCAGAGTCGTTTTTTGGTACAAGTAATACTTCAAGCAATCTGTACAAATTGTTATCTTTTTTAAAAAAAAAATTTTCTGTGTAAAAAAAAAAAATTCCTTTTTTTTTTACTTTCTTTAATTTTATTTTGAATTGAGTCAACCCCTTGCAATTATACCGTTCCACGAGTACATATTCTACTCAACTGCTCCTTAATCTACTCAATGAATTTTGCACTTTATTAATCCAGTTATTCTGTAGCTTATCTTTTTTTCACCAAATGATGTTACAAAAGCTGCCAACAGTTATTTGAACACCCCTCAGCTCAGTTTGCAGCAAATGGCATGCAGCATTTACAAGATCGGTAGTTAGATATCAGCAGATCATGGGTCACTCGACGAAAATCTTGGTTTCTGAGATAATAGATGACCACGTTAAGCCAACTGTTTGTCAGGACAGGCAGCACATAGGTGAACAGGACTGCTATTGGGTGTGCACTTTGTAAGATAAATGAACAGAGTGGCAAGAGGTTGGCAACAGATGCAGTCAAAACTATAATGAGGACTGTTTTTAGGGCCTTGTTGTCGGGTCTTGCAGCAGGATTTCTTGGTTGAGCGATTTGGTTTTCGACTTGGATGGCTCTCGCTTGGTGTCTTGATATCATAAACAGTCGAGCATACGCTGTGAGAATAACTAACAGAGTGCTAACAAGAATGGTTGAATAGACTATATGTACAGTTGTCCAGGAGGAATTTGGTTGAAATGCACACGCTGGGATAGATGTGTAGTATGCAGTTTTCCAATGTGATGTAAATCCGTATACTGTTATCATCAAAACAACTGCTCCCCACAAACAACAAACAGAAATGCAAGCCCTCTTCACAGTTACAAGAGATGGGTAGCGCAACGCATGCACCACTGAAATGTAGCGATCCACAGTCAGCAGCAGGAGTGACATCTGGGGACTGAAGCTTAGGATGCAGTCGACAAATGACAGCACTTTGCAAAGCGCATCACCGATATGCTCAGTCTCAGAAATCACTAACACAGTCATTGGGAGAGCCCGGAAGAGTCCCACCCCGAGATCAGCAACCGTCATGGATCTTAGGAATATCTTGGTTGTTTCCTGGATGCTGCAGACATGCCTCAGGACCACAAGACACAGCGGGTTGAGGGTCAGAAGTAGAATTGTTGTTATACTGAGCAGGATGCATCGGATGAAGTTGTACTCAATTCTGTTCTGAGTCACTGGGGTCGTGGATGCATTGAATGTAGACAGGTCTTCATTAGTTCCTGTTGAATTCATGTTGATGCTCATCTTACTTGGTCGGGTTCAATCCTTCAGTAAGATTTGTTTTAGTTTACTCCAGGGTATGAATTACACTGACAGCAGAACTGATCTTTGACAAAAATCTTTCACATTTACATTGAACTATTTGAACGTAATAAGAATAGATGTAGTAAGAAAAGCGTCACATATTGTCAATTAATGGTAAATTGCATGCAGAGATTTCTGTCTGCAAGTAGGCTTTGTCTCTTGGAAAAAACTAATGAAATGGGTGCGTGTTGTCCTTATGCATAGAGGTAGTGTGTATATAACCAAAGGTCAGTGCTGATTGGCCAGTCTCTATAATTGTGTAGGACTCTGCTTGGCTCCTTGCTATTCTTTTCCTTTTTATTGACAAAATTATTATTTTCATTGTGAGCGGCGCGTTCATATTACAAAGCAACTGTAGGATGCATTTTGCGCTGCTGGTAATTTCCTGCAAAATGCCATTACCTTTGTATTTCCCTAGTTACAATGCAATTATATCAGTGGCCGGTCTCATTTGTGTTTATTGTTCTTTATAAATCACAACAGGCCAACTGGTCCTCAACTGTTCCTTATTAAATGTCAGATGAGCAGCGGCATTATTGCTTGTTTAAAATTGGAAGCTCTTGAGGTGGAAAACATCAAGTGCCCGTTCAATTTTTCTTAGGACCGTTCTCTTTTTATTGCCAAATGTTTGTTCAGAATCAAGTTCTTTGACATAACAAACAACCTGCTGTTTTCTGACCCTAGAATTATAATAAGTATCTAGCGTAGGTGCTAACCTTAAATAGGAAAAATAAGAGGGAAAATGAAGACAAAAGAAAATTGATCACCCAGTTACCATGGTTACATGAACATTTGTCAGTTCAAGATCTGTGTTGATGGTTTGCCCTGTGGTAGCTCATACACCAATTACTGCCAGAAACTGGGAGTTTTTTTTCATCTAAAACTGTTTCCAATTTATGTTTTAAGGGAAATAAATATACAGTTTTGAATTGAGCAATTTTACAAGCTTAAGTTGGCATCATATGGGCCGTAATTCATAATATTTTTGTCATCATTCCCAAAGTTCCTCTGAGGCATAAAACTACTTCAGCACGCTCCAGAAACTGTTTATTTCATGAGTACTGCAAATTCAATATTTACCTCTGTGATGGGCTAAACAAGCATTTTAATAATAAACGCCTTCCAAAGTGTTTGGGATTAGTCAAATTGCTCTTGATCAGTTAAGCTACATTTAAGTATTAAACTTCAAACTATCATCATACTTTATCATAACACTTATAACATTTTTAATTACATGAGATTGAGTTGTCAAAGCAGTTGACCCTAAATTTAGGGGGCGGGGTGTTCAGCAACCACACCTACAGCAGGAAAATGAAGGAATGGACAGTAGTACAGTCTGAATCATCATCTACTCCATCAAGCTCACCCAGAATAGTAAGGCCATGACCAAACTGGGGAGAGCTGTCTGACGGTATTTCCTCTTTTCCTTATAGTTTGTCAATGGAAAAAAAATGCAAGCCACAGCCGAAAAATAAGTGATTCTGACATGGCTTAACAATTAACCTCAGAGGACCTGATGTTTTGCTCCTAGCACTTTAGTAGCTGAATACATGTAAGGTAAAACAAAACTCAAAACGTACTCAGGGGGCACTTTCCTTCAATGGTTCACCATGCTGGAATGTCATAATCTTTCTTTGTAATGGTTACGTCTCGATAGTTTGGCGTACCATTGGTCCGACGTCCCAATGGTCCGACGTCCCAATGGTCCAACGTTCCATTGGCCTGACGTCCCATTGGTCCGACGTTCCATTGTTTTGTCGTCCCATTGGTCCGACATCCCATTGGTCCGATGAAACATAATACTGTGTTGTTACACTGGTTCAGGTTGACTTTGACTGACCCTAGCCCTAATCCTATGGGGCGTCAGACCAATGGGACGTTGTACCAATGGCTTCGTACCAATGGGATGCCGGACCAATGGGACGTCAGACCAATGGGACTTCAGACCAATGGGACGTTGAACCAATGGGACGTCGGACCAATGGGACGTATGGACAATGGAACATATAGAGCCATGGGCCATCAGACCAATGGGATGTCGGACCAATGGGATGTCGGACCAATGGGACGTCGGACCAATGGGATGTCGGACCAATGGGACGTTGGACCAATGGGACGTCAGACCAATGGGACTTCAGACCAATGGGACGTTGAACCAATGGGACGTCGGACCAATGGGACGTATGGACAATGGAACATATAGAGCCATGGGCCATCAGACCAATGGGATGTCGGACCAATGGGATGCCGGACAATGGGACTTCGGACCAATGGGACTTCGGACCTTCGGGATCAAGTCTGACACCTATTAACGTGGAGATGATCTTCTCAACCATGGCTGTTCCCGAAATGAGAGACCTCTCAGAGCGACCTCAATTTTATTTCCAAATCATTAACGAATATTTAATGTCTGTGGCTGGCTGAACATTTCAACATGTTCAAATATGTTTATCATTTCTGAATCACTTGTACATGTTGAAAACTGTATTCAAAGGGCAATGAGAATATTGTGGTGGGGCATCACGGGGCCTGACCTACATTGTAAGTCTGTTGGGATCAAGTCTGGCGCCCATTAGTGTGGAGACGATATTCTCAACCATAGCTGTTCCCGAAATGAGAGACCTCTTAGAGCGACCTCAAGGGGAAGGGTCAAGGCCCATATTGTAGGAAATTTATTACCTATTGTGACTGATTGTTAGTCTGTTAATCTACGCAATAAACCTGCAACAAAGACCCCTTGACATCAGATTTGTCAGCACAATTAATACAATTTATTCAGCACTAATCAATAAATGTACAGTAATTGGACTTTAATTTTTGTGGTTGTTTTATGATCTGGGTCCTTTCCTATACGGGATACAACCCTAACCTACTGCTGGCGGTAGCAATGTGCAACAGCATCAGTAATGCACCACAAAGTCAAATATGCGCAAAAGCATCTGGAATACATGTACAACAGCATCAGCAATTTACAACGGCATCAGCAATGTACATTTGTACAACAACATCAGGAATTCATAGCAACATTAGCAAAAAACGTACAACAGCGTCAGCAATATACAACAGCATCAGCACTAAACAACAACATGAGCAATATACAACAACATGAGCAATATAATAGTAGTAGGAATTCACAACAACATCAGAGATGTATAACATCATCAGCAATGCACAACAGCATCAGCAATGTACAACCTTGGCTTACCATTGCCATTCCTGTGGCAGCTCCTCTGGGTGCTAAGCTTTGCCCAGCCTGTGAACCTAATAGTCACGTGCATAGTTTCGTACATAAACCTAATCGCATGCATAGTCTTGCACATTCACAATACATGCAGTAAAAAACAATGGAAATAAACTGGCCCTAAGCCCTTACACTTTCCACCACAATATACATGTACTTGGGTAGAGAAAGGGATCCTAAATCACGGTCATGAGGTTAAAAAAAATCTGTAATTTTGAACAAGCAGTTGTTTAAAGTTGGGCCAGAGTCGTTTTTTGGTACAAGTAATACTTCAAGCAATCTGTTCAAATTGTTATCTTTTTAAAAAAAAAAAATTTCTGTGTAAAAAAAAAAAAATCCTTTTTTTTTTACTTTCTTTAATTTTATTTTGAATTGAGTCAACCCCTTGCAATTATACCGTTCCACGAGTACATATTCTACTCAACTGCTCCTTAATCTACTCAATGAATTTTGCACTTTATTAATCCAGTTATTCTGTAGCTTATCTTTTTTTCACCAAATGATGTTACAAAAGCTGCCAACAGTTATTTGAACACCCCTCAGCTCAGTTTGCAGCAAATGGCATGCAGCGTTTACAAGATCGGTAGTTAGATATCAGCAGATCATGGGTCACTCGACGAAAATCTTGGTTTCTGAGATAATAGATGACCACGTTAAGCCAACTGTTTGTCAGGACAGGCAGCACATAGGTGAACAGGACTGCTATTGGGTGTGCACTTTGTAAGATAAATGAACAGAGTGGCAAGAGGTTGGCAACAGATGCAGTCAAAACTATGATGAGGACTGTTTTTAGGGCCTTGTTGTCGGGTCTTGCAGCAGGATTTCTTGGTTGAGCGATTTGGTTTTCGACTTGGATGGCTCTCGCTTGGTGTCTTGATATCATAAACAGTCGAGCATACGCTGTGAGAATAACTAACAGAGTGCTAACAAGAATGCTTGAATAGACTATATGTACAGTTGTCCAGGAGGAATTTGGTTGAAATGCACACGCTGGGATAGATGTGTAGTATGCAGTTTTCCAATGTGATGTAAATCCGTATACTGTTATCATCAAAACAACTGCTCCCCACAAACAACAAACAGAAATGCAAGCCCTCTTCACAGTTACAAGAGATGGGTAGCGCAGCGCATGCACCACTGAAATGTAGCGATCCACAGTCAGCAGCAGGAGTGACATCTGAGGACTAAAGATTAGGATGCAGTCGACAAATGACAGCACTTTGCAAAGCGCATCACCGATATGCTCAGTCTCAGAAATCACTAACACAGTCATTGGGAGAGCCCGGAAGAGTCCCACCCCGAGATCAGCAACCGTCATGGATCTTAGGAATATCTTGGTTGTTTCCTGGATGCTGCAGACATGCCTCAGGACCACAAGACACAGCGGGTTGAGGGTCAGAAGTAGAATTGTTGTTATACTGAGCAGGATGCATCGGATGAAGTTGTACTCAATTCTGTCCTGAGTCATTGGGGTCGTGGATGCATTGAATGTAGACAGGTCTTCATTAGTTCCTGTAGAATTCATGTTGATGCTCATCTTACTTGGTTGGGTTCAATCCTTCAGTAAGATTTGTTTTAGTTTACTCCAGGGTACGAATTACACTGAAAGCAGAACTGATCTTTGACAAAAATCTTTCACATTTACATTGAACTGTTTGAACGTAATAAGAATAGATGTAGTATGAAA